GTACCCACTATTCATCAACCCACCCCCCCCGTTCCCCACCCCCCACAAAAAAAATTATAAATTTTTTTTTAATTTTTTTTAATTTTTTTTTTGTTTTTTTTTTTTTTTTTTTTTTTTTTTTTTTTTTTTTTTTTTGGATATCAGGGGGCCGGGAGTCGGTGGCGACTGACCTGAGGAACACACCCATACACATCGGTGAGGTTAAGCTGCTTCCTATCCTTCGTAATATCCTCTGTAACGGCCAAGCCGCTATGATAGTCGAGGCTTTTATTATACAACGTCGCAGCATGGTACTCGAAGGTTCTACGATTCCAATCAAGGTAGCGACGGGAGTATACGAACGGAGAAGTAGAATTTTGCGTTGCTTTGCGAGTTGGGTTAGGGACACCAGCAGGGCCACTACTTTTACTGTCGAATCCCGACATCGAGAGCCAACCGAGTGTTTCGCAATATCGGCCTGAGAGAGCTATGAGAGTTTGGTCAAGAATAAGCTCGTTTCACCTACCTGACTCAAGCGCTGTGCTACTACTATCGTAGACAGCAAAATCCCGAATATGACTATGGCCTCCTATATTGCTGTTAGCGACGAATCTAACTCCCCTTGGATATAATACAAACCGATAAACTGAATAGGGGTATCCGGATGTACCGCCCGAATCGCGTCAAAGACAATAGGGAAAGTGCTCGCTTTATCAGTCGGTCGGGCAGGGTTGTGACCTAGAACGACGAAGATATCTACGGGCTCCGGGGTATGAAGGACATCTAGAAACCATTTCTGCGTAACCATAGTCTTTGCAGGGATGACTTTAGAGACATTCGTGTTACCTGCCAGCTGTTAGGATCATGTTTTGCGGCAGCTAGGGCACATATCATCGTGGTGTCCTCTCACTAGTAAAGTCGAATAACACGCCAAAGGCCATGATTCGAAGCCCATGCTTAGCAGTGAAGTATCGGTGCGTGTTACCGATATACTGCCACTCCTTCGTCTGCTGGTTGAGTATCTGAACGTTGGACGTGAGATATTTCTCGCCCCAATATGTCGATATCTCATCCAGAGCTTGGTAGGCAACATCGGCGAGATATAACTCGTGGTTACCAATAGTTAGCAAGTCATACTGGGCCTTGTCGAATATCTTCATCGAAACCTCGCCGTCGGGTGTGGTAGCGTCACTCAACCCGGCGCCATCATGTAGATCACCTAGACGTCACATAAGTATACTGAGGATCGACAAGACGTTGAGTTTAACTGACCGGTATCAACTAGAAGTAGATCGACACCCATGTCGCCGGCTTGGTCCTTGAAGCGAGTCGAGAAGGAGACAAAGTCACCCCAATCGGCGCCATAGTTGGCTTCCTTAAGGTGACCCTGTTAAACATTAGCCGCTGTTAAGGAAGTTTAGGAAGTTCAGGGAGTTGGGAATGTTACGTACCTCTAACCATCCGTGTGTATCAGTCTTACGCGTTGATCATTAGCAATGCTACTTTCTAGCTCATTAAACATCTAAGATGCACTCACGGTATGTAGGAAGTTCAGTTGGCCCCACTAGAGCATCTCGAATTAGCATTTCGGGTTTCTGTTCTTAATTATTTCTACTAGTTATAGGCGAAATACTAACCTCTAGAGCCCTCGTGGGTCCGTAGGTAGCATTTATCGCATCGGGCTGCATACGCTTCACATGTCGGACGTGTTCGACGACGTGACCTACCGAGCCCGAACAACCGGAGCATGCCACAGCATTACGGATGAGACCCAGGACCCCTAGTACAACGGCCGAGTTGACGGGGGGCATCTTGGAAAGTCGGCAGTGCAACTATTAAAGGGGTGTGTCGATTTCTTTCTTGGCGATCAAGAATAGAACAGCCAAGCAAGATCTTATACCTATCCCGAAGAGTCGGGTAAGACATGGGGGTTTAAATACAATTCGGATTATGCTTGCCGGCTTACTTATATGCATGCAAAGGAATGCAGGGGAGGATGTAGGCTATAGATGCACTACTACCATAATACGTTACGGAACTCACCGAGATGACACTACGATGACACTACGAACGCCTCTTATCACCACCGTACAGCCCGAGCAATTGGAAGCAACCAAACGTCACACGTGGTATTAGACGGCCTTCCTAATAGAGTAGGCGGCTAACAGATAATTGAATACGCCTACGTATATACAACTAGTCACCAATCGCTAATCGCTGATCGCTGATCTCCCGCCTCTCATTTCCAACCCCTCTGGTTTCTATATTTCTATAGCTCAACTTCGACAACATGCTTCGTCGCTTCTACTATATCCTGTCGAGGTGTTCCCGGGCGCGTCCTTTCGCCGTCCGTAGGCTCCACCACTCCCATCTGCCGGACAGCATCTCTCGCGCAGAGCGTGCCCTCTACCCTGTGAGATTTCGCCCGATAGGCATTGCTAGGAGAGTCGTCCTCAAGGTAGAACTCCAGTCTTTCTGGTCGCTGGTCTAGCCGGAGTTTGCTATTGATATCATACTCGAGGTTTCTGAGCGCTTGAACGGCACCAGGTTTATCTACTATACCGTGCATGTAGAGTGATACGACCGTCCACGCCCGTGAAGTGCTATTTTCGTGGCCCCCGACGCTAATACCGAAGGCGTAGAATACTCGGTTTCTTCGGCAGATATGCTCTTCCAAAAGATCGTTTAGGTTGTCCATTGTTGGTAGTGTCTGTCTTGAAATTGATATGTTTGGATACATTCGCGTTTTTTATGTATTTTGATAATTCCCGTGCAAACCGGCACATGATTATTATAGGAAATAGGAAACGAAGGTTATGAATTCGAGACCCGTGTTGCGTGTTACGTCTGCGTAACTAGTATAATTAAGATGGCTATAATAGGTGAGGTGAGCAATCAGACGGTTTGTTCGGATCTGAAGAACCTACCAAGTCAATGCTCTCGGCACTAAGTATTGCACAAAGCGGCTATTCAGACGACTCACACAAAGGTATTTAATACAAAGAGATAGTTTGGATTGAAGATAGACAAACTCCATAGACCACCTACGCAGACTCGATAAGCATCCTTCAACATATTCTATAATCACCTGCATTTCTAGTATCCTAGATAGCCAGATGTGAGACCAGAGTTCATTGGAGAGTCTACCAACAAAGATCATGCAGGAGGAAAGCGAGATCCATAAGATGAAGGAGATTATCGGATATATTACAAGCACGTCTGATTCACTAGAATGGCAACCACAAACAAAGGATTGTCAAGAACGGTTTAAATGTAATGAATTACTAGAAACACCGAATAAACCAAACCAGTAATTGTCATAAAACCCTAGATTTACCCTGAAACCACCCCGAAGTTATATGACGAACCCAAAAGTAACAGCAGATGAAATACCCGACCAGTAAACCATATCCAAGAAATATAAGCCTAAATTTTACGCCGGCGTCCATAGATCAAAAAACAATATGAATGAATTACAAGAGGATGAAATGTCCGGCCACGAAAACAAGGCCCGTAACGACGGCGAAAGCGTTCTTGAGTGATGATGCGCCGGAGACGATATAAGGAGGAGTGCTGGTGGTGCCGTTGTTACCTGAACCAGGGCAGCTGGGTCCGGCGCATGGGATGATGGGCTTGGGGTTGGAGTTGGGGCACCCAGGACCAGCACAAGGAACCGGGGCCGGCTTGGGACCAGTGCCAGGGCATGGGCCGGGGCCAGCGCAAGGGATGGATCCCGGGCCTGCTGGAGCAGGGCATCCGGGACCAGAGCAGGGAACGGGGCCGGGGCCAGTGCTGGGGCATTCGGGACCGTGGCATGGAGTAGAGCCAGGGTTGCCGCCAGGAGTGTATCCCGAGCCTGGGTGAGGACACTCAGGTCCAGAGCATGGCATGGGGTTTGAGTCTGGGCAGCCGGGGCCAGCACACGGGACTGGGACTGGGACTGGCTTGGGACCGGCGCCAGGGCAAGGCCCAGGACCAGAGCATGCGCCGGGACCAGCAGGCATGGGGTGACCAGGCATAGGATGAGCGGGAACTTTGGTCGGGTAAGCATCCGGGTTGCCCATAGGGTGACCAGCCGGCGTAGCAGTGATGGTAGCCGTAACACCGTTGCCAGTAATGCCGACGGTAGGATACCCAGTGGGCTGAACACCCGGGCAAGTGATTTCGATGGCGGTAGCGGGGTGGCAGACGGGGCAAGACACGGTGGTCACGACGAATCCCGGAGGGATAACCGAGGGGACATAGTCGCTAGGCTTGCCAGTGCAAGTCTCAGTGACGGTGTAAGTAGCCATCCACTGGCCTGTCTCGCAAGCTGCCGGCATGACAGTCTCGTAGACGGTCGTGTAGTGGGTTTGGGTCACAGGAGACAGAGTAGTCTTGGTGACTGGAGTCAAGACGGGGGTCAATGCAGTCGAAGTGCAAGACAGAAACTTGGCAGTGTTGGTGACGTTGAAGTAAGGCATCTCGGCGGTTAGTTGTGATTATTTTTTTTGGACTATTGTCTAGATGAACGAGTGTGTTATAGTTGGTGTGAAATGAATGTGGTAGCCAAGACGGCAGGTAATGAATGACTGCGAGTGAGTAGTAAAGAGTGACTGTAGTGAATGAATGACTGATGAGGCTGATGATGCTTCCAAGAAGATTTCCTGATAGACAGGATACTTGGACATTTTTATAAGCAATGACCGTAGCTGGCATCGCGAACTTAGACGCGCGTTGAATAGTAGACATGTTTTGTCTTTAGAACCATAACAAGATTGTAATTACTATGAAGACATTAAGACTGATCTACGAGTGGAAGAATGACTTGGGATTGTAAGGCATTCCTCTCTACTCGACCACAGCCCTAGCTAATACCCTAGTTAATAGGAACTTACATAGGTAGTAGATGGATAGGTCATGATATTGAGACATTCGGCTGAGACTTGTCATGCTCACCCGAGTCGCTCATTTTAAGTCACCTTAAGTCGCCTACTACAAAGTCAACATCAAGAATTAAGGCGCTCAATACGGATTACACACAGCGATCAACTCAATGCGTAATGCTTAATGCTCAATGCTCAATGCTCATCTGCGTCGCGATTGGCACGCAAGCCCCGGAATGCTATCAAGTGCATGTTCCCTCGGTTTTTCGACATCTCCCGCACACAGTCCGAAGACGTTCGGGAGACTTCCTAATAAGGAGTTTAATCTCCAGAGTGACTTCTCAAGGTTGAGAATGGCAACTCGTCACTGTGAATATCGAAATGACGGTCGTGGCTACTCTGTGAATACTTTTTGATCTAAGGAAGAAAAAGAGAAGAAACGAAAGCAAATTTTCGGACTGCGAAGTTTTTATTTATTGGTGTATCTAGGTGGGGCTAACTAGTACGTAGCGTTGCCTCTATATGTTAATAATGATTGAATATGTAATAATTATATAATAATTATATGGATTAGGTAAGGACGATATCTTTACATGCATACACTAAATATGTGGGGGTTGTCTCGCGCCTCATTCGTCGTCAACCAAAACCAATTGGTGTCTCCAACATCAACTTACATCTATTTATACCTATACATATCAAAAATGCCAGTGGATGACTACGTGTCGGCAGCCGGAGCTGGCGCTCTAAAGCTGAAAGGTGGGAAGATACAGAAGAATAAGAAAAAGAAGAAAACCAAGGTCTCAACCCTCGAGCGATCCCTCACTCCGGGAGATAGCTCTGCCTCTAAGCCCAAGGATGTCGAGGATCCCCGACAGCGCGATAGCAAAGATCCGGATGATGGCGACGATGGTGACATAGTCGAACAGAAGACCGAAGCTGAGCGCCGGTATGAGGAAGCTAATAGGAAAAAGGTATGTTTTGTTTACATTTGCGACAAACGACAAGCGACGACTTAATACTAATATCAGTTTCGTCACTAGATGTTGAAAATGCTCGAGGATCCAAAGATAGCTTCCGAATTCCGAAAGACGCACAAGGAGAGAGTAGAAGGCCTGAATACGTATCTCTCCAAGCTTAGCGAGCATCACGACATGCCTAAGATCGGCCCAGGATAAACTATACCTTTCGGACTGTCTAGCCTGGTGTTTACCATGTCAGACTTAATAATAACCTCGCTCGAGCCTCATTACTACCTAGACTACCCAGTACTTGATCTGATCTGATTAGGTATTCACGGAATGACTTTACGAAATGACTGCTACTATTATTGTATAGAATATCTCTGTTATGAATTGGATTATTAGGCGTCCTCCTTTGACCTTCTGTGTACATCCATACGTACATACATACATACATACATACATACATACATATTTGCGTATCCCAGATGATGATTGAAAGATCCCAACATTAATGAATTAATCTGCAGACAATCTCGTGATATTCGTCAACAAGCTGCCAGACTTTGCGAGCTCTGAGCCGACCCTTTTCCACCCTTTTTCTATGCCAAATGTTTCTCTCTTTTTTCCCATTGTCACCTAGTTCTAAATGAATGTAGATGCCGTCAAGTTTCTGTATATGTAGATGCCGGCGCCAGTACTAAATATGCTTCGCTCAGATGATGATGATAATGATAATGATGCTGTTGCTAACGCCAAATTTCAAGATAAGATCAAAGGAAGGAATGTGATCGTTCGAATTACGATGGAGCTTATGCGAGGAGTGCTCCGCCGACAACGGCGCCGATGATGACTTCTACCACCGGCCGCCTCGCAGGCAGCATGGCAGGGCCGGATTGCAAGCTTCCCTCGGCTTCTGAGGTCTGGCTTGCTTCTTCGGGTGCGCCTGGAGTGACCACCTCAACGGATGTGATTGTTGTCTATAGAGTTAACGAGTTAGTGATTTGCTCTCCTTCGAGATGAATACAAGACTGCTTGCTGCTTGCTGCTTATGATATAACCCAGGCGTATTTCTCTACATCGCTGGAAGTATATCAAAAGTGAAAGTAGGGGTACAATGGGTAAGAAGTAAAGCATACCTTAGCGCCTCCAGGAAGCGTCGATGTGAACGTAGATGTTCTAGCTGGCCTTGTAGTGCTGGGAGTAGATGCGCTCGTTGCTGTTGTCAGTGTCGTTTCTATGTACTGGTTAGCCTAATACTCTTATGCTTGAAGCAGACACTACGGATTAGTAAACATACCAGGAGTGCTCGTCGTCTCAGCAGAAGACTCCGGGGTGGCTGATGATGCCGTTGTCGGATCGTCGGTGGTTGATGTCGTTGTCGTGGTGGGCACGTCAGACGCAGTAGTCGTTGGCACATCCGAGGTCGACTCCGTAGTTGAATCCGAAGTCGCCGTCGTCGTCGTCGTAGGCGTATCTACAGGGGTGGAAGTGGAGGTTGGTTCTTCCGCTGTGGTGCTTTCACTTTCACTTTCACTCGTAGGGACTGCGGAGGTAGACTCCGCGGACGTAGCAGTCGTGGTGCTGGTCTCGTTTCCAGATTGCCTCTTCGCGAGCTGGACGATAGATGTCGCTAATTCCGGGTCACTCGCGTGGATTGCCTCCATGGCCGAGTGGTCAGAGTCATAGACGCCATGCTTATAAGTGCCAGGGAAATAAGCATGGAGAAACTCGTGGATAGCACGGGGAGAAGCCGAGCTCAACAACCGTGAGAAAGTCGAATCGTCACGGAGAACAACATGCTCAGTCTCGCTTTCGACCTTATCCTCACCGGAAGGCTTTTGGTGCAAGACGGCACTGGCCAAGCCGGCCGTGACAAGCAGGCCTAGGAACAGAGTGAGAAAGAAGTGGCGGGGCGAAGGCATCTTTTCCACTACACGATGTCGAATGCAGCGTTTAGGTTGAGTTGGTGTATAAACTGCCTGCTGTTCACCTAGAAGACCCTTTTCGGAGAGAGAAGTCATATTGGAAAAAGAAACAATGTTGTTGATTGGTACGACCGTTTTTATGGTAAGCCCGACTGGATCAGTTTCCGAGAAGCGAGAGAGCTAATGCAGACTATTGCAGAAAGACGCTTGGGCAGTGGGCGGCAAGATTTCGGGGGCGACGACTACTGCAAAAAAAAAAAATACGGTACTCGGTACGCAGCTCCACGGGGTTCTAGAGTTGCACAAAAAAGAAGCAAAGCCGGCAGAAGAAAGGGGGGGTCAACGATAATTCCGAGCGAGAGAGGTGAAGACCCAAAACCTATGTACTATGTAAAGACCAAAAGCAAGTAGCCTATCTCAAGTACACAAGTTCGTATATGATCCCTGGATAGCGTGGCTTTGACGTGTACCGATTTGCCGGATGCTGTGGAAACCAGGAAGGCAAAAAACAGGGTCGTTATGCTATGTTCTTTATTCAATGGAGATGGTTGGTCCCAGCGCCGATAACATTATGTACGTTTGTTATGTAGCGTATGTACAATGTATGTGGGCGTATGTATGAATGTACCTACGTAATGTCAGATATCGTGGCTGATGGCTTAATCCTCGAAAACTGGTGGAGACGTACTGTAGCCAAAATATATATGACACACTGTACAATGTCAGGAGGCCACTGAGTAGATTCATAGTGTATCGAGCTTGACCTGAGGCAAAGGATTTCATCTTTACATATAAAAACTCCTTACTGTGTATCAAATTCTACACCGGCCTCTAAATACAAACTATCTCAAACTTACACTAGTTAACTACAGTCTTTGTAAAGGCTTATAGGTTTTGAATTTGAATAACAGAGTCCCTCATAGACAAGTTGTCAGAACTGTTCGTTGTATGCACTGTCCATACTTTCGTACGATCGAGATTGTCTTGGCGCTGCGTACGGATCCGTAGGCTGAGTCGAAACCCATACTGTGGTCATGGTGACGTCGCTTTCTGTTGAGAATACGAGGTTTCCGCTGTTTCGTCTAACACCCCACTTCAAGCTCCTCTTCTCTCCTACGTAGTGGAGTCGTATTCGGCGCTGACTGGCGGGCTAACCCGCGTGGCGCCGTCTGTTCTGAATCCGGGAAGATCCAGGCGGCGAGAAGGAGACTGCTGTTTCAGAACAAAGAGAACGTATGCCGCCGCGAGGTACATGAAGACCGGCAGATTGTGACATTGGACTGATCTACTATATATAGCACCCCTGGTAAGATGCATATAACCCCTGATCCTAGCCAATCACGGAATAAATACATACACGCACATTTCGACCTGTCTTAAAGTCAGCCATAATGTATTTACTGATTCGCTAACTTTGACAAAGATTGGTTTTAACTTATCAGTTTACCTCTCCTCTGCCATGATTTTATTCGTCCAGTCTGTTCCAAAACGTGATATTTGACTAAAATGTCTCAAACTAAATCTCATCGTCTTACCTTTGATACATACATGTTAGCCGCCACTTCGCCAAGTCAGACCTTACGCCATTGGATATCAGCGGCTACAGGGCTGAACGCTTGGCGCAGCGTTGCCGCACGTAGTAGACGATGATTTTTATAAGTATATGACTTGACGATACCTCATTGACATCTCATATATACGATTATACAATCACACTGCAATTATAAACACATATATCCTACCACCGATTGATCGCCGACAACCATAATAAATGCTTACAAGATTAAAAGGCTAGCCTACCCCGACCCAGTAATATACATATGGTACGACTTCCGTGATATAGATCCGCGTCTCGGGATTGCCCGGAGGTCCGGATAACCACACTCTTACGGTTGGAAAGAGTTTCGGAGCCGTGCCCATGTATGGCAGGTCCGAGAGACATTAAATCAGTTCTGATCAGTACACATAATTCGAATAGCTAACAGTGGGTATATAGTAGTTACTCCAGATGGATATCTAATAACATCGGCACATAACGAGCAAGCAGTGGGGAAAACAGCATTGTTCATGCGTGGGGAAATGTCGATCTGACCAAGGTTGATGCCATGGATTAATTTCTCAGCAGCATGAAGCAATGAGCCCTTGCATTGGTGGCTCGCATATAATAGAGTTATCCACCCACAAGTACTTAGGTATACGAACGGTGAGACAGGCAACACTAATATATATATAAAAGGGTTGAATATAATAATCGATTTAACTCACTAAATATAACCGCTGGAATCAATACGTATATAATCATTCTACGCGTTTAATATGGCCGCTCAAGTATATAGAACAGGAACAGGGAAAAAGCAATTATATCCGAATCCAAATACAATCGTGCTTGAGTCTCCGTGAGCCAGTTTACTGGTCCTCGGATCGTTGCGCAGGATATAATTTGATCCACAAGGGAGTTTTCTCTCTCAAACCATATAAACCTTCTGGTCGATCCAATCTCCCTCAGTGGCATTCTCTATGTCAAAATGCCAGACGATTCTCGCGATAATGATCTTTATCTTGAAATATGCAGGGTTACGTCCTATGCAGTTACGAGGTCCAAACGAAAACGGTTGAGAGACCTGTCTCTTATTGTCGTCGAGCCGAGGATCCTCTCTTGTCCAACGCTCGGGGATGAATGAGTCCGTCTGTAGCGAATTCCGAGGACTTTTAGAAGCGGCGTATATGGAGATACCAACTGCCACACACTCGGGGAGGTGCTCGCCGTTGGTGATAGCGCCTCCAGGTGGCACAATCCGCTGATGGGGTTGGGGGGACGGAGGGTAGATCCATAGGGTTTCTTCTATGCACGCAAGGAGATACTTGCATTGGTTGACGCGTGTCATTGTGATCTCGTCCTTCAATTTCTCGTGCACCCGGGGATTCTTTGTGAATAGATAAGTGATGCCTAATGCGAATATTGTTAAGAGATGTGCATACTCCTTCAAGTATCGAGTCATCTGATCTCGCCTCTAGCGTCAATAAGTATATTCGCATTACCCGGTAGTTGCCCGCGGGTCATCTTTCCCGACTTATAAGCATCGATCAATTTCTCCATAAAATCAGGTGCGGATGACTATTGCTCAAGGCGATGATTCGTTCTCTCCTGTAGGAAGGTGAACAAGATATAATATAGACAACAAGTGTCGTGCACTTGCCGTATTAAGTTGTTTGAGCGTCCGTGTCTAACTAGATGCATGCTGGAATAGTACATAGCTTTAAGGGGATTTGAATAGACCGAGGAAACCGGGAAATTACTTAGTAGAAAGCCATGAACTTGGCAAAGATGAAGATTTTAACCCATTTGTGAATCCGTGAGTCTGCTAGACAATCGAAAGATTCCCCGAAATATATAGGCGAGGCCTGATGAGCGACACGATACTAAGAGAAAGCCTATGGGTCTTAATAAGAAACCCAATTAAGTCAAACGCCATGAATTTGGGCAGTTCAGCTTCGAGTATCACTGCAACGTTGGAGCAGCTTACAACTTACTTTATGCCACAATCGAATATCGATAGCAACCTCGCCTCTAGAGCTGAATAATATTTATTATCCTTTGTAAGTTCGAGACGGCCTGGAGGCTTGTGGTCATATATTCCCTTCCATTGTGGAGGGTCGACGTAAGAGAGTTCGTTGGGGGAGGTCCTGACTACCAGACCGTATTTATTACTCCCTATATGAACATAGTGGATATAGACTATTATCTTAGAATCAAGCTCGGATCGATAGACAGTGGCTAGCAAGCCTTAGGATATATTGGTCTGGAATGTAGATAGGTTATAGTCTTTTATATAATAACTGAGTTTATTTCAGCATTCTTGATTACATCCTTATAATAAGAAATTTGTGGTAGGTATTGCTTAGCTTTATCTACCGGAATGATGATGATAACTAGATATAATCGGTAACTACTAGAGGGTCCAAGCGCCTGGCGGTCCCTCTTCGCTGCGCTCAGAGGGAACCAAAAATCTGGGACAAGCCAAAATTCTGGGACAGCCTTGGCAACAAAATACGTGTTTCCCATATAAAATCCAACTTTCAACAATTTATATTTAAATGAATAAAATAGATAAAAATATACTTCCAATATTAATTATATTTGAAATATTCTATTTTATATAAAAACAATTTTTCCAATTTTAAATAAAAATAAAAGTAAAAAAGTAAGCTTTTTTCAATTGTTTTTTAAGGAGGAGGTGCAAGAAGTTCAAACATCCCACACACTTTCTAAAAAACACCACACTATAACAGCCATAACTTAGCCAATATTACAGCTATAAGCATGCAACTTATATCAGAATTTTTATTATTTTTCAAAGAATTTTTTGATATCAAGATTATTTCAATAGCTCTTATCCGTCGGAGACATTTTTTACGCTGGAACTCTTGGAAATTATTATGCGAAATTGATAAGGAAATGATAAGGAAATGATAAGGAAATGATAAGTAATTGATAAGTAATTCATCAATAAATGATAAGAAAATTGATAAGAGATTTGATGTTTCCGACGGATTCTCACGTGCGAGCCTGCGAGCACGTGAAAACGCTTGCGCGAGCTTGCGAGTGCATGCGTTTTCCTAAATTTTATTAGTAAAGTTAGACTTTTGAATTACTGGAAAATGTTAGTGCAGCCCATACATTTTACATAGTAAACACTATCTGTCCCAGGTTTTTGGTTCGTCCCAGATTTTTGGTTCCCTCTGAGCGCAGCGAAGAGGGACCGCCAGGCGCTTGGACCCTCTAGTAGATGAAGTACTTAGGTATACTTACTTATAGGGGGGCTCCACCAGCCACATAATTATGTAATAGCTCTTTAAATTAACCTTAAGAGAAAAGGCTTCTAAAATGCACGTACCCTGTTTGTACACTAGAGAACAGCATGCTGGGAGTACCTTGGTGATTACGACGCGACTTAACAGAAAAAGACATGTGAATACGTACACCAAGTGCCAGAAAAGACAAGACCCACCAATCGTGCCAATCGTTTAATGGATCGTTTAGTTAAATGGAACATCGTAGCTTACCTACATATGTATGTACTCCCAAGGTTCAATGTCAGAACTCTTTTTTAAAGATCTTTAAAAGTTGTCAAGTAACCCCCTCCTTATCGTAGATCTTTACAACTTTATCCCCACGATACGATTGCTGCCGCCATCAACCTGCGCCCTCATACCCTCGCATAACTTATTCCCGGAACATGACGCAAAGAAGTTCTGGCCGGGACTGAATGAATTGCCTCCACGTTGCGCGCCTAAGGTGTGCCTGTCGACTAACCGGGTCTCGATAATGCCTGGGCACCTCGACCCGCCTCCACAAGATGCTTTGAGACTCCTCACACGATCTCCACATCCTTACCATCGCCAGCACTCCGAGCTGCTGGAACCATCCGACCGCTTGACATATGCAACCTTAGGAGGAGACCGACTTAATCTACATCCTGTCTCTTCCGGCGTCTCGAGAGAAATTACACCTAGTAGCGACAGCGGCACTGAGGCCGATGATGAGCACTTCCTCAAAGGCCTACCAGCGCCGAGAAGATCGCGAAAAGGTTTACGGGGGCGCAATGAAGTTCTGTCAGGTACTTCGACCCCGATACCGTCTCCCGCTGTCCTCGAGGAAGAAGGGAGACGAATATCCTATAATATGAAGAAAGATGAGTCCATAGGCAAAAGAACTCAAAGTCCAGCCGATAAGGCGCGGAGGAGGAAGGAGATTGTCCGTCGCTCTATCGAGTTGCTGCTCATCGGATTCCTTGGTGTTGTGGTTTGCACAAATACTTATGTCCAACCCATACTCCGCAGATGGAATCGAGGTGCGCTTTTCTCCCCTTCTTTCCTTGCATAGCTGAGTTGGTTATTAGAAGAATACTAATGTAAATCCAGAGCTCTATGTCTGGATAGGAATATCAGTCGCTCTGGCGTTGCTTTATCCCTTGAGACTTGTGGTATGGGCTTACTGGCACCGGGCGCCTTCAAAGAAAATCCCGATATCTATACCATCATCTTTCGACCCAGCACCATTATTATATCCGTCGGCCATCACGATCTTTGTCTCGCTACTTCTCGCCGTTGATAACGAGGCCATAATTCTACCAAGCATAATACTCGCCATATGTTCCTTACCACCCACGTTACTCCCCACCTTGTCTAGTGTTGGTCCAGGATGCGATTCCTTGCACTGGGCGCTTTCATGCGCACCCCTACTCCTAAAAGAAACTGGCCGGCTCAATGCCATCCAGACGAATGCTAGAAGAACTGGGTTCTCAGCATATATTTCACTCGAAACTGCAACACTATTGTACCCGTTACATCAGAGCCTCTGCTCAATCCTGCGTACTTTAACTACAACCAGCCTTCTTACAGCCGAACTGCAATTATTGTCGATCTCGCTCATCGATCTCTTATTTCTCGCATCTTCACCACAAGCGGTAATTTTAAAGTCACTGCTCTGGATAGGAGGTGTTGATATCCTCGTCTTGTGTGGTCAACCTATCAAATGGGGTATCTCTTTGGCTCGTGTACCTAAATGGCGCTTCAAGAGAACGCCTAGCTCTTCTAAGCCGGCGCCTTCTTTCTTTTCAAGCATCATGCCGTGGAGGAGAGTAAGGCACGATCTATTCCATGCGCCAATAGATAGCTCATCCTGCAGTTCCTGCGAAGCGTTCGATGGCCCCGAAGATAGCGACATTCCAGCATCTACGGCAGCCGGAGGACCTACTCGTGTGAAAACCATGTTTGATGGCGTTGGTTCTACTGGGATTGAAGAAGACTCACTTTCTGCTATAGGCCAAAAGCTCCTGGCCAATACTATAAATACGAAGCCTGGATCAACACCACTTCGCCGACACACTCTACCCAGTACAGATAATGTACCGCGCAAATCTCATACACATACTCCGTCCGGCCGGAGGAAGCGAACCGCTTCTCGCTCCGTCCGTGCTTTCTTCTTGCTTACGCAAAAGCAGGCTACGACTAGGAAATGGATTTATGCTGCGTATGTTTATATCTGCATAGTTGGCGCTGTATTCCTTCCCCTTCCCTTTGTCGGCGTTAAGACCGTCATTGCAGATGACGCACTTCGTGGCCATGAGCCTATAGGATGGGCTCTGGGCTATTTGTTCGGAGATCTACCACAATTCAGATGGGAAGTTGTCAGTCGGAATCTAGAGCGGTGGATATGCCTCCCCTTACGGCCCTCTGACGAATATGAGCATCTTTCGATGGGTTGGGTCAATGATCTTCGCCAGCTGCATGTTGGTCAAGCTAATACGCGCCTTTTATTGAGCGCGTATTTCGTGGGTGTCATCGCGATCGGATTGATAGTCGTATTTCGGCTATCGCCTATCTACGAGGTAGATACGCGACGAAAGGTTTTCCATTTCATGATGGTCGCCATGTTCTTACCGGCTACTTACATAGATCCTACGTTTGCGGCCTTGGCACTATCCGTCGTCCTTGCTCTCTTCCTTCTACTCGACCTTCTGCGCGCGAGCCAACTTCCTCCGCTATCGAAGCCGCTGGCTTTCTTCCTTGCCCCATACGTCGACGGGCGAGATCTTCGAGGCCCGGTTGTTATCTCGCATATATTCCTTCTTATCGGTTGTGCGATTCCTCTGTGGCTGTCGCTGGGTTCGCTCCCTCGTGTTGGGTCCGGATGCCTCGACGGCTGGGAGGTGCCCACGAGAGAAATTAGTATGGTATCGGGTGTCGTGTGCGTGGGGCTAGGCGACGCTGCCGCTTCTTTGATCGGAAGACGTCATGGACAGCGGAAATGGCTGTGGGGTGGCGGTAAGAGTCTCGAGGGGAGCGTAGCTTTTGCGTTTGCTGTCTTCGCGGGACTTGCTGCCGCCCGCCTGTGGCTACGCATCGGCGGATGGCCTCAGACGATCGGCACCTCCGACACATGGAGCGCCGCTGCCCGGAAAATGGGGATATGTGCCGCTACCGCCAGTCTCACGGAGGCAGTTTTGACTGGCGGCAACGATAACGTAGTGGTGCCTGTGGTCCTGTGGACATGTGTAAAAGGTTTTGGTATTTAGGTTACCGCCAGGGGATAGGGGTGGGATGAATGAAGGGTTGAGAGTTCGGCGTCCGGTCAGCAAATTCATCAGCATTTACGAGGCCTTCCAAAAGGGGATTAGAAGGTATAGATCAGAGGCCCGACTTCTAGACCAAGATATACCCATCGGGTTCGGTCGGCGTTTATTGATATTGTAACGTATATATATATCGTTGCATAATGAGTGAGGAAAAGGGGGGATGAACTAAGACCAATCGATCTAATATCAATTGGTGGTGGATTGTAATGTGGCCAGCTAGGAAACGTAGATAATGAGACATGTATATTTAAATGACGTTGCCTCTTGACAATCAATGCAAGTAGGTTCGAATCTCTTTGCGGGCAACCTCCCTAGTCCGACTCGAGTTCTACTCGGGCCGTACCGTATAACCAGGGGCGTTGAGTCATATCGTATTCAGCGGTACCCGTGAGTTTTCTCTGGCGGAGGCTCGACTGGCAATGCTGGCGCCAACCAGCTGGGTATCGGCCCAGGCATACACATTCTGGTTCCAGCGGGTGAAAAATCGCTCTGTGTCGCTCAGCCGAGCCTCGATCGGCCGGCTATTCCCCAGATTCATTCCGTCTCCGAGTTGCATGTCATAGTCGAGGGATATAACGATCTATTTCCTATCACCCTATCACGAATTTGGCAAGGTTATTATGAGTCATGTAGTGATGATAAGGTAAGGTAGCATGTCTGCTTTGGGGCATTTTTACGAGCAATCATTTAATAATTCGGAGTCCAAGTTAGCTTCCAGATGGTTCATGGTTAATAACTCCAGGCCAATTGACCCTGAGCCCTTAGGACACGATTAGATTGCCAAGCTTCAAGTGTGGCTGTGTAACTCTTATACAACCTTATTAGGTAATATTGACACTGCAAGAACCTGCGCAATTCTTGTAGATTTCAAAGCAACGTTTGACTCCAAGCGGATACACGGTGTATAATACTGTGCAAAATGACTCGAATGCCTGATAGAATAATGTGGAAAGAATAACTAACTAGTTGATGCTAGTTAACTAATGGTTATTAAACCTAAAAGCTTAGCCACTTACCTAGCTCGCGCAGGTGGAAAGCGGAAAGTGGAAAGCGGAACGCGGAAAGCGGAAAGTGAATAATTCCATGTCTGAAAATACATTGATAAGTACATACTGGGTACAGAATTACGGAATCACGGAATCAATAAGAATCTTCAACATTGATCCTTCGAATTCAAACAGTCAGTCGTAAGTAATACTGATGTCCCCGTCGGTTTTTTTTTTTTTTTTTTTAATTCTTGGCCTACAGCCTACAGCCTAGTGTACTGCATGCTACGAAAGTATTGTACCGAAAGTTAATTACATAATTTAACTACATACAGTACATACTTACAAATCTATCTACCCTGCTCAATCAAGATACATTTTGAACATACATCTTAATCTTACTTACACATCCATCTTATACATATCAAGAGACTTCCCCTTCCGAGTCATAGATTTGCATTCGGCTTTCGATAAAACCGAAGGCCTCTCATTGTCTACCCCCTTTCAGAGACGTAGTCTTTACAATCATAGCATTCCACCAGGGCGTCTGACCCGCCCCTGGTAAAAGGCATTAGGCAACCTCAATTCGTGTCGCATAGCTTGTCGCATTCCCTCCCTCTAGCCACAATCGATAAAGACATCCCTCATTTTTTCATTTCATACAAAGCCTTTCCACATATTCGGGATACCTACACCACTGTCAGCTTCGTACTGAACCCCACTATACTTATCGTGAAGATTCAAATGACAAGCGCCAACCAAGTCTCATTTGTAGACTTGGGGTGCAGGGCTAAAGTGCGAGACTAAGAGAGGTCGGTAGCCATGGCATCTAACTCGTCCGGAAAGCCACCTAGGGTCCTTGCTTGTGTGAGTTGTTTGTACCACCAAACCGCTTAAAGGTCGCCATCCTCACTTCATATTTACGTAGGTTTTGTGCCAAAATAGAAAGATTAAATGTGACCGCAGAACTCCTTGTTCCAACTGCATCAAGGTGAGTTTTTGGGCGGAGAAGTCTGTCTCTATATCTCACGGCTTTTCGGTCCTAACAGATCGACCGTGCTTAGGCCAACGTTTCCTGTACTCCAAGTACTCCGGCGCCTGCACGCAAGAGACGGAGGCCCAACCAAGACTTACAGCAAAGGCTCGCCCGGTGCGAAGAGTTGCTGTCCGAATATGCCACCGCCAAACCACCAGCTCCCTCGTCCATCGAATCGCCAACTCAAGATGAGTCCTGGAAACCCCTCGGGAAACTGATAGTCGACGATGGTGGCGTCAAATTCATAGATAGTTTCTTATGGGCTACCATTCACAGCGAGGTGAGTTTATCCTCTCCTGCACCTCTTCTCCCTGATATACTACCCCTTGTCGGGTCAACACTTCGCTTTTTAGATGATTATGGACTTAACTCTTTCTCTCGCTTCCACTAGCTCTCGGCAATGCGCGAGATACTCGAGGATGAAGAAACAGTAGACGATCCATGTACCCCAGCCGAGTCGCAAATTTCCGATCTCGATGCAGGACTCATATTATCAGATACTTCTAACACTGATTTAGAAGAGCTACATCCCCAACCGGCTCACGTATTCCGCTTATGGCAGATTTTTATCGAAAGAGTCAACCCAATAACTAAGGTGATCCATGTTCCTACAGTCCAGCCTCTACTCGTCGAAGCAGCGGCAAGCAGAGCAAAGATACCTAAGAATGCTGAGGCACTGTTATTTTCCATATATCTAATGGCGACTGTGGCTCTAACCGAAGATGAGTGCTTAGAGCGGTTTGGGTACACTAAAGATGTGGCTTATACTCGCTTTTCCAAGGGTTGCCGTTCAGCTTTAATGCGTATCGGCATTCTAAAAAACTACGACCTAGTTGTCTTACAAGCCTTGGTGCTATACTTGGTATACACATGTACCGCCATCTCTCATTCAGACCTCGGCTAACAGCACTTCCACCAGTTCTCCCTGCCAGGTCATTATGACCGCCATGCGGCATGGATTTTAAACGGCGTCACAGTGAGGATTGCTCAAAAAATGGGACTTCATAGAGATGGAGAATTCCTCGGACTATCGCCGTTCGAGACTGAGATGCGGCGACGCATATGGTGGCAAATTATTTTGCTTGATGCCATGTACGCGCTTATGTCTGGCCTAGGTCATTCTCTCCTCCCACGCTCCTGGGACACGAAGCCACCCTTGAACCTCAACGACTCTGATCTTTACCCTACCATGACCGCTCTCCAACCCAAGGATAGTCCCACGGATATGATATTCCGCCTCGTATGTTGCGAGCTTGCCGCGACCATGGTTGACACCCCCGAGCTTCACACGGTCATCATGCAGAATGAGATGGGAGTGGACAACCCCGAACCCGAAAAAGTCGAAAGGGCCTCTAGGCGCATCGATGAACTGGATAGAACTTTGACGGAGATCCTCACCAAGTATAGCGATCCCTTAATGGGGCCTGTGCACGTCTTAGCGACCGAGACGAAGTCAATAATGATCGACAAGCTACGAGAGCTTGTTTGCCCACTTAGAAGTCAACCGGAATGGGGCACCGAAATATTAACACCCAAAGACAACCTATTTAAGCTGTCCCTCACGGCAGGGGAGCAGAATTTGCGGATGTACCAGATACCTCAGACCGGGGGCTTTTTTCTCTGGTTTAGTAAGTGTCATGGACTATGGTCGTCAAATTCGTGCCTAGCTTTGCTAATACCTGCAGTGATGTCACATTTTCAGATAGAAGTATTCATATATATGGTCGGGCAGCTAAGCACACGCACATCTGGACAACTGGTGGAAAGAGCATGGCAGGTGGTCGAAATGTTTTACCAGTGGCACACGGAATTATACGATCTCTCGATGAAGGCGCATATGGCGTCAGCTATCTTTACGATACGAGCCTGGAATGTACGAGAAAGGATACTTCGGGATACAACGGGATCTGCTCCGGAGACGCCGGGCTATATAATCAGGCTGCTGAGTCTTCTTCCACCCGACGAGGCTAGGCATACGCGCACTGGTGAAATGTCTACTGCGACGAGTCTAAATGTGAGCCCTGCTGCACCTACACAACAACCCAACACGGAGGTTTCTTGGGATCAGATGCTTGGCTTTGTCGATGCCAATTCCATCGATTGGGGTGATATGTTTTCGGTACCGGCCGGGGGACAACCGCAGCCGAATTTCGGAGGTTATGCAACGGTGTTTGGGGGAAACTCGATTAACTGGATGTAGACATCCCATCGGAAGAATTAGAGGATACGGACGTTGCCACTCACGCACTGGTGTTTCATCTTGCTTTCTTGCTTGGTCTGGTCATGATGGGGCACTTGCTTTAACCATAGAAATGGTATGGCAATAAAGAAATGGATATACGCACTGCTATTAAAGACTTCAGGGGTTGGGTGGTATGCGCCAGACATGTTTACTCTATTGAGTACTAGCGGATGCATCGGTAGGATAGTCGAAGGGTACCGACAAGGACAGAACGAGTACTCGGGGGTTATTCTTAGCATCCGTCCAGCTCTTGATAAAATCTGGAATTATAATTCTGTGCAATACTACTCGCTATTGTAATAAATAAATCCAATCAAGAATAACTGCTGGCGAGTTACAGGTACGTATTCTGGGAGGAGCCGAGTGGTATAGATTAACTTACCTACAGTATAGAAACATTTGGAACCTTACAACAACCCATGGGTTTGGGAGTAGTCTTCTCTGGTTGTAGAACAGCTTTAATACTGATAGCTACTATAGATATTATGAATAATATTCAACTCTTCACTCCGTCAAAGGATTAAAATTAGACGAGAATGATTTTCAGACACCAGCTTTTTCTTTTTCTTTTTTCGCTAACACGCTGTATATGTCATGTGTACTATGTTGAAAACTTAGCCTATAAAGCTCTTTGAGGGTAGCTTGAATACGTATACTATATACCTCTATCGTGTTGATAGACACTCTACACGGCTGACTCAAGGAGTTAATATCTGCATTAGAGTCTATTAAGGGACTGTTGTCGGTTTTCGTTGATAATCATAGTTGATACTGCACCGGACTCGTGGCCTTGGTGTTGTCACCTTGGTTTAAATAATTACCTATATACACAAGGTAAATACCACAGCGTAAGCCAAACTTGCTCAATAGCAGTTTAACCAGTTGGTTCTCGCGAAATTTTGGCACCATACATGGCACCAACAAGACTCATAACTTATTCGTTCGGGTCCCTTCTAGAAGATGTATGAGATACATTATTACCGGCAACCTTGGTGTAGACCTGAGGGCGCGTCATCTCAGCTATTAAATCCCCAATCTACGCTCCGTAGCAAGAGATACCCCCTTGGACCTGATACATTTTTACAGGTAATAAACAATAGCATATATAATCTTCAAAGCCTATTGTTTTCGAACAAGCACTCTTTCCAACATTATTCGAGACCAGAAACAAAGCTTTCTTTCTTCCGACTTGAGACAACTAACTATAAATAATCTGGTGCGTAATTTTCCAAACCAGTCTAGTCTATTGAATCTTCGTCATATTCTCTAGCTAGTCGTGACCAAGCAACTTGATATATATATTTATTTCTAATCCCAAGTTAGCTTTGAGTCGATCTCATCGCAGCAGGCCTGTACGAGCATCAACATCGCCATCGTCATCATTAGTGACTCCCCTCCACATATCCCCAACACTCCCCTATAACGCCCCCAACCCTCCTTTCCCCAGCACCACATCCTCTCTCAACAGCTAGTCCATACAGAAAGATCCAGCCAGAACCTCCCCAATGGCGCTAAAAGGCACACCCCCCCTCCCTAACAATAACAACAGCAATTGGACGCTCATGTACGTCCTCCTAGGCCTAATCCCGGTAACATTCACCATAATAGCCGTATACGCCGTATGGCGGGACACACGCACCCCACCTCGGGACATCGAGATGGCATCCCTGCCCTCGCAGCGCGTGTTGCCGTGGCGAGAGGCAATAGCGGCCTCCGAACGACGCACCGGGGAGTCCCCCTCGCGTCCGGAAAGCGACCGGGCCCGGATGATGATCACGAGACCCTCGTCTACCGTGCCCGTTACGCCGAATACAGTGCGGTCCGGCGGACCGCCAGGCACGAGCATGTGGCAAAAGTCTAAGGGCCACCGAGGGAAGAACGTAAGCGGAAAGGCGGGTGCAGCTAAGGTGATGCCGACCAAGCAGCCGAATAGGAAAGGTGTACTGAGAAGTATGAGTAGAATTTCCGAAGAGCTCGAGGAGATGCCTTTCTAACCAAGATATTACTAGCGATACCTATGTTTTAGAGGTTAGTTATATGCATGTAAATATGTTCACTTATTGTCCCTGTAGGTTCCATGTGAAATGAATATTATTTCCTGGATCTAAAAGTAGCTCGGAAATCGATAATATTAAAGCAGTATAAGAGCTCTAAAAAAGTATCGTCATTGAGTATTACTTCATACTTGCTGCAAATCAGAACTAGCAGATGGGTTCAGTTAACAAAGATATCCCCCTTACATATCACTCAACGAGATCAAACACAATGTTCTAAACCGCATGATTCGCAATAATGACCCTCTGAACAAGGCCATTCGTCCATTTTCATACGCCGCGAAGCGTCTGGTATCGGTCTTACGCCTAATGTGGCCGAAACACTATGCTAAGTTCGAGTATCAACCTCGCCAAAAAATCAAGACGCCTTTTCGTGATATGCCTTGTCCACATTCCACGTGTTACTCCTAACGCCTCCATATTCCGCAGTCTAATGAGGTACCGTTTCTCCCCTGGCCTGAATTGCGAAAAACCAGTGTGCATATGAACCGGAGTCCAATTGGGTATCAACAAAAGTATTGGAGAGTATAGACAATCGTAAAGCAAGCAAACGCTGATTCGAATCAGCGCTAGGCGTTGCTAGTAATTCAGCCCCGATAAACTTCAAATAACAATAATGGTGGGTCGAATGAAGCCCTCGACCTCCCGGACAACTGGTATCATCATCGTACAACAAGGTCGCATGGCTACGACGCTAGTATTTCTGATAATATATGAAGTCTTTGGCTTCTATAATGATTTTAGGTAATTAGTGGCTCGAAGGTTGCCAGATGCCCGCGCCGAGAGGTTTGCTGATACCGAAGCCAATACCAACGGCAATGCCCACTATCAGTAGACCAATGAGGATCTTCGCAATGATTCTGTTCCTCTTGCTGAGACGAGCCATGCACTGACAAGATCTATTGTTGATTTTAGCCGCCTTTGCCTTTTGCTGCCAGTGTTCTTGTCCAGGCCAGACAGGGCAATCCGATTTTCGCCTAGTTCCAATGGTTGATGTCTTGTTCAGGTGTTCAGAGGATTTGACCGGCACCATTGCTTCTATGTCGGTGTCGAATCCGTTCGAAGCGGTAGCAGAGATTGGCGTTGATACGTTAGAACCTCGGCGCATCTCCCCACCTCCGTCTATACTCCTCTCGTTGCTAGGTGCGCGGAGTTGTTGTGTAGTAACAATCAATTGGCCAGGCTTAGTGGCCTTCTCTACGGTGATTGAAGCCATTTCCCTTAATGATACGGAAAACGCGAACCGAGGCGCACCGGTAGTATAGAATCGAGGAGATATTAATATGTAGGCGCCGCCGTCTTCAGAACCGAGCTCGCTAAATGGCAAACCACGGTGTTCCAAAATGAGGAAGGCGACGGTGAGAGTATAAGGTCGGATTGGGGGAATGAGTGCTAGGAGGAACCGTCAGTCAATCGAATGACTTCGTGGATAACAAGTGCTAAGCTCACCAGAAGCCACTAAAGGGCTAAAGGGTAAGGACGCGCTTGGCTAGCCCGAGAATCGGGTCTAGATGGACGCAATAGGAAGGAGCAAGCTAGAACTTGCTCTATTCTTGCGATAGTTGCTCCAAGTCGGCGTTGGCGTTGGCGTTGGAGATGGGATCAATCGATTGAAATGGGACCAAGGGCGTTCGGTCTTTCAGTTCATTGATGCTTCCTTGAGTCGACAATTTAGGTCTCGAGATAAATCGAAATAAAGGATCGACACAAAAATTGGGAAGTTGAAAGGAGGGTGCGAATGGGAGGAAGAGAGTGATTGCGATCTATGTATGCATGTAATACCGTGTGCTGGATGTACGAATGTACGAATGTAATTGTATGTGTGTATGTCCGCTAACACTACATATAATGCCTAGCAACTAAAAATGAAACGAATGAATGTCTTGTTACCGACAAGTCGTACGTGATCATGCAAGGAACGAGTGACCCTAAACCTTCGAGGGGCACAAAAAAAAAAGAATAAATGGTAAAGGGAGCGAAAAGATGTACGAAAGTAGATAGTGGCAGACAATTAGAGCAAGTGGACGAGCAATGGAGTTATTGTTCCAGATTTCTGCAGTATCTAACTTTACTAAACTTGTTCCTAACGTTGCAGGCCTTGTGTAACCTTGCCAGCCATTTGCAGCAGCCCATAGCGCGCATCCATGCGCCTGATAGATGCAGGAGCCAGGGGAGCCATTGGATCAATTAAAAAGGGGGAGTCAGGGGTAGCTGGCTAGATAGGGTATGTCGCACAGGCCTACGAGGGGCTCGACCACTTAAGAAAGCTAAAATCTGGAGTTGATAGCCCCCATAACGCTTGCACCCGCCGCAGCAGCTTCCCCTAGGTAATAACCTAATTCGTCAAGTTATGTCAGAAGCTTTTTTTTCTACACGTGCGTTCTGACACACATGCATTCTTGCGTCTTCAAATGCAAGACATTGGCTGGAAGATATACCTACATACACGATAGCGTTTAACGGCAAACAATTACCCCTCAACGATATCTCGCATCAATTTTTATCGTTTGTTCGTACTTCCATGTAAGTTTTCTTTTGTCCTTTACGTACTATTAGCGTCTCGCATGAAGCAGCACATAATTCTTCGCAAAGTTCACGCGAGTTTTGAATTTTGATGTTTTATTAGCTGATCATTACATCGTACGTATTGAAAGACACAATACTACTTCGTACGTATTGGTAACGATTGCGAGCTGTGCTCGTTTATCGTATTGTAATAGACACATTAGCGTTGTCCTTTTTGTTGGATACTGGTCTGAGCTTATATGCAAAGTTCACCATAGTGCCAACACGCGTTCCATCTCAGGTTAGCTTGTAAAAGATAAGCGGTAGATCGAGGCCTCCACGGACCTTTTGATCGGAGCATTGGTGACTCTCTGGGTTAAGTGCTTATTACTACATAGTACCAGGACGTCTACCACGGTTCATTTACATGCGTATGTACATAGAAATAACGCTTCGTACATGGCTGACTTGTTTCTTGCATGGGCTTGCGTTTGCTGTAGCGTAAATACATCATCTTCAGGATGAAACCCAGTGGTCCTAATGAACCCAATGATCTCGCGTGGAGGATTCTTTCCCTGGCCTCAGATCTCAGCATAAACCCAACAAGCACATGGCACGTTGCATAATAAATTACGGGTAATTCCGACTTTTCGGCCAGGACAAGCGGCAGGCAACGCAGAAAATCCTCAAATTGGATATAGAAGCCGAATAGGAACGGGTACGCGTACGGAATCTTTTAACTTTCGCACAGCCTGCGCGTATCCTCTCGACGGGGCACAACAGCAGATAACCTAGAAATTATTATTACGAAATGAACGAGATGAACGAATTGCGCAGACAGGGTTTGGTTAGGTAAGTATTGATAGTTCTAAATGAAATAATGATCGCTTCCATATTCATATCTAATACCCGTTTATTACTACGTTTGTTATGAGCTAAATGCTTAAGTTGATTATTACCGATGTCAAACTTGTCAAAATACCTTGCATCCAGCCCGAAAACGTGCCGTTCCTAGCCAATATATCTACAACCTTGAAGTACTAGGTATGCTGCTATGTAAGTTGTTAGGCATAAATAATTATATGTATATTTCTCCACTGGCTAATAAATAACAGCGTCATCGCCCCTGTTAATCATATCCATTTATGATTTAGTAGGAGCTTACCTAATTATGAACTACACGTGTATTGTATATAGTTAATGCATCTAACATTTTACCTATGATGGTACCTCGTGCGATGCGGCTATATCGTCACATCGTCATGCTCCAGGAGGCTTTGCGGCGGTCATTTCTCGTGGCTTGACGTGGTGCTACTACATACATACATAATTGAACGACATCCGATCGATCTGTGAATGTTGACAGATCCACTTACGATCAGCTTACTTATGATCCGCTGACCTTGGTTCGTCGTTGCGTATCCCGATCTAGCTTATATATGTACATATCTTACGCGTCCGTGAGTCTGGCCAAATATTCGCTTTCGCCGGTTCACAAGCTCTCGTCATGTTCAACGTACAACATGTCCGACCTGAGTTCCTGACGGGTAATTATTACGCTCGATCGTCCCAGTCCAACATAGGTACATAGATTATAGACTATAACGAATGGTAATGTCAGTCATCATACAACTTATGCAGGTATTTATGTGTTTTATGGTTATAGTGCACCTAATGAGGCTCTGTTGGCACCCATGTATGATATTTTGATTTTTGTACGTTGTTAGAATCTCGCCTGCATAATCTCACTTCTGAATTATCAGCGAACACAAGGAACGAGCCGAATCCCGCTACGGCAAAAAAAGGGGGGAGGAAGATCGTGATGGCTGCACATTGCTGTCCCTTCTAGGCATGTTACTACATACCTCTTAGATCTATATTTTTATGATGCAGGCGCATGTACCTTGGGATGCAAGATGCTCTGCATGCGTGTAGTTTACTGCAGTATTTCAACTAGAAACGGCATTTAAGGCAACATGAGGGAGTTTTGCAGAAGGTACGAATGTACGAATGTACGTCCTGGCAGAGCGTTCCTGCCTCAACTGGTTACTTCTGTGTACCATACATGTACATATGCTTCGGTTACCTAATTCCAATTGAAGTATCTGCCTACCTAGAATGCAGTTGCCCACCGAAGGTATTATCCGTCTCTTTGCACATGCCGTTAGGTCTTCGTATTTTTGTCTCGGGTCGATTACAAGCAACTTGCAACTTCAATTCTTGACCATCCGAGAACATACTGATCAACCTACGCATACCTCTCGTTCCCACTAGAATTTCAACTCTGGACTCTAGCACCCTCCTCTTCACTATACAATTCCAACACTCAAGAGGCTCTGATACACAGTCTATTCATCATGAAATTCGCTGCTATCTTTGCTATTCTCGCCTTTGGCAGCTGCTTAGGCATGACGGCAGTACTCAACTCATCTCAGACTGCACTTGGCGTTGGATCTGACATGGTCCACCTTGGTCTCGAGAAACGAGATGCCTTCACTTGTTACGGCGTAAGTCATAGGATTCTCTCCTATTCACTCCATCTCATACGGCTAAGCTAACACGGTACACCAGTCTACCAACACCTCGGTCTCGGACTGCCAGAAGATCATTGAAACTATTCGAATCGACGAGCAGCAGGATTTCGCACTCTACTCGGGTGTCTGCGCTGTCTGGAACCAAGGATCGTGCAGAGTCCGCTTCTGCGCCCAGCCCTACGTCAACAGACCCGTCAACAGATCTGCAACTTGGTTGACAACCTACATAGCCAGTCCACTCCTGGACGGCTGCATCGGCAAAGGAAACCTAGGAGTCATGGCGGACCATACTAACATCAACAGCCACTATGGCACGTACCGACTGTGGGTGGATTGATTCTCGAATATATGACGTGGGAACAGCCCGTATTGTTCTCATGAAGCCTACGATGTGATTTCGGGGACATCATGGCAATGACTTTCTATTATGTAGCTCAGATGAACTCTAGCAAAGACTGGACTCAGTCCAAGAACGCATGAACGAGTAGCCATGTACTCGTAGCATTTGCTTTGATACTCGAACGTCTCCATTACCAGGAGTTTGATAGCCTTGCGAATTAATGACCTGGTCGAGTACAACTCTAGGGGCTATAGACCTCTTAGAGTAAATATATATTTTATTAAGCTAATATTTTCCCCCATCGTTCAGTACTACTATCCGCCTTGTGGTTATATAACGACTTAACAATTCAACTTCAAATAGTTGCTCATAGGAATGAATAACCGAAATATTCACTACACTTAAGGTCTCCTACTAGTAGTAATTAGCGGCACGTACTATTGAGTTGCATTGTTGAGTTAGTTACTAGACATGTAACTCCTACGAATGTTCTCTCACGGCCACTTTCCAGGCCGCAGTGTTTTAAGCTTCAAGGTCATTGCTGGATGCTGGGACGGGAAGGTTAGACAATTTCACGAGTTAACATTCACTTATCCCGGGTACACTAGCTGTATTAAATTTTAATCACAGATGCACTGTGATGCGGGCTTTGATGCACAAACATTCACTTTGGTTGATCTAAGGGGGTGTTACTTTGCCCCTTTCCTAAGCAGGTTTGGTGATCACGAGTGTTGAGCGTTAATTTAATAGACTCGTCGAACCTTCCAAATAACTTGAAGTAAGTAGCCCACTGCTGCAACAAAATCAGCCGAACTACTGGGTAAGCACCTATCAATCGCCGTTTCCATCTGATAATATTCTTAGAGTTACCTAGATAAATCAAGCAAACATTGACATCATCTAACCACCAATCACTTTTTTAAAAGGCAACAGTTATTCGAGACTGACTTCTTGATCTCAGCAACTATCTCATTTTCAACTTCCATCTGGGATATCACTTCGGTTCGATATATTCACCATGTTTCTCATGCGCATGGCCGCCTTGGCCGTCATCACGACCGGCGTCCTTAATCTAGTACCTTCTACAGCCGCCGTTGCTATCAAGGGTACGGGTTCTCTCTCTTCGTCTCAGTTCATGCAAGAGACCGTCCTTCGCGACGTGATTGCCGACTCGACTGCTGGACATGTCAAGCAGCGCCGCGACGCCGTTCACCGTTGCTACGAGCCTGCCTCGGAAGTTGTAAGTAACCTATTTATCAAAAATGATCTTATAAAGCATACATATAAATACACTTGCTAATACAATATATAGGGCGAAGTCCCCTCTGCCGATGACTGCCTTGGCGCGATCAAGCAACTCCGAACCGTGCAAAATGATATCACGGTCAAACTAGTTGAGGGTTGCTACCACGCCGTGTCTGGCAACTGCACCGCCTCCGTCTGCCCCCAGCGCATCGGTACCTCGACTATCTCCCCTGCGCTTGCCGCTCAGTACCTTTCCGACTCGGTGATGAGCGAGTGCATCTCGAAGGGCCATCGCGGCTGGTACGTCGACAGGGACTATGGAATTGGAGTCTATCTTAGTTAAACGTTGTGACATACGATGGTTGGAATGGTGAATCTCGTCCTAGGGTATTGTTGAGATGGGGCTCATATGGATTCATAGCAACTCGCAGGTTGAAGTTATGCTAAGGGGGGTATACTGAAGGCGATATTCTAGCTCTGTTGAAATAGCAACCAACATAGCAACCAACGATGAATTGTTATTGTGCTCGTTTTATTTACGCCTCAATGCACCCTAACTATACTGCCTCCTTTTGCAAACTGCTTATTAAGTCAGGTATACCTGATACAGTTTATTGGAAATTGTAAGCCACTCTAACACTAAGCGTATACAGGACTCGGCGTGGGAAACTCGGCTAGTTCAGAAGAATGTATCCAACTATGTTTCTCTAAACACACATCGGCGGGACTTTGAACGGGATATGTCCTCTTGAAACCTGTCTGATATGTCTTAATGGAGAGTGATGATACCCCCTAATTTCCGATTAGATACAATGCCGTAACACACACACCGTTTGTGAGATGGCTCACGAGTGTTACAGAAATAGTGCCGTGGAAGGACAGCTAGCTACACGTGTAGGATTTGATACCTCTCACTGATATGACGAGTAACGCTGTGCGAGCTGCGATCCCTTTATAAGTAGGGCCATGATCTGTTATGGAGTTTTTGGAAGTATCTGGCCGGGCCGTCTGTTACCAAAAGGGATACTAGATTGTACGATGCCTGTATTTTTGCGTGACTGTCTACATGCTGTAGGCTGCATTTTGCGGTTAGAAGGTAGGCAGTTCTATACGTAGTAGAGAGGAAATCAAATGCTACCTACATACCTGCCAGCCTGCTCATGTACGTACGGTAGATGTGAAGTCTACCAATAAGTACCCTGAAGTATAGGTACGTTCTGGGAAAGGGAAAGCGTGGATCTCGAATTGCGCGGTTGGAGAATAAAAAGTACGATACATACATAGGTAGCGCCCCACATCTACAGCCTTACCTAAGCACGACGAGAGCTTGCATCAATCACATCCCACCTAATCCTACTGTACATAGGTACATACACCTACAAACCTACCTAGATCATCTACGTCAAATACCAGTCAACAACACCTCAGCAACACTCTATACTGCCTGATCGAAGGAACCCTCTCATACAAGCACGATGGTATTTCCACCTCCACCTAAAAGCAACTAACCAGTCTCTACCTACTCCCAAGCTAACCCCGTCCACTCTCCCAGAACAAAGATAGCTGCTACACGTACGTGCACATGCAGCGCCCGCGGGACGCCGACATGTTCGAGGACTTCTGCAAGGACAAGCTGCCCGACGACGACATCTACGTGCCGCCGCATCACCAGCCCATCAACCCGGAGGACGAGGACGACGTCGTGCCCGACCAGCACGCCGCCTTCGGCATCCAGAAAGCTACCCAGCGCAGCAGGGAGGCCGCTTGGAAGGATTTGGGGCTTGCTGAGCTCATGGGTAAGGGACCTGCGGTGGGGAAGTCGGGGGGTGCGGGTCGAGCTTCGTATAAGGGTCTGCCGCGATGACAGGTTGGGTTGAGCTGTTGTCGAAGGATGCGGCTTCGTTGGTAATGGTTTATAGAGGCGCGAGTCTTTATGGGGAACTGGCGTTTTCACGGCGAATCGGCGTAGTAACATAATCCCTTTTTCTTTCTTCAAGACAGTTAGTTGCCTATTGACTTTGGACTGTCCTGATATCGTAACTCGCACCCTATCTTCTGACCCGGTGATATCGTGCTCCTAATATAAAATAAATGAACCCTATCCTCGATTCCCGACTGGCAAACCGTCCCGAACGCCGTTGCAATGCTAGAACCACCACACCCCTGATTCTCCTTCCTCCACTCAAAAATATACTATCCCACTCTCAGCCTTTCCCCAAATACCCCTCCCTCTCCATAACCTCCGGCGCGAACTTAACCAGAAAAACCGTCCGGCCGGGCCACATCTCACCCTCCTCCTGCTTCCCAACGCTGTGCGCCGTGACGCGCGCCGGGAACGCCGAGCCATCGCATACACCCTCGACGATACCCGCCACGTACGCCGCGCAGTTGAGCTGGCTCATGTCCTTGGGCACGCTGACGTAGCGATTGACTAGCGGCTCGTTGTCGATGATCATGTACTCGTCGGGCTTGGACGGATCCGACGACTTCTCCAGGCCGTCGGCTGCGCGCCCGAATAGGTGCTGCCACACGTTGATCTTGATGAAGTGCAGGAGCGTGATGATGTTGAGCGGGCGCGTCTGCGAGCGCGGCGGTTCGCGGTATAGGAGGAGGTCGAGGAGTTTGAGGCCGATGGGGTGGCCTTGGACGTTGAGGCTGGGTCGCATTAGGACTCGAGCTTACCCTACCCTTAGATAGGTAACCGGCTAACTTACCGCTTTTCTAGATCCTGTATACTCTCTATCTTCTTCGAGGCGTAGCCTACCATCTCGGAGAAAAGATAGGCAAAGCTGGAGCCGCTGAGTTCGGCGGCTTTGGTGCGGTTTAGCGGTCGGTGGTAGATTGTCTTGCCGCTCGTCGGGTACCGTAGGCCCGGTTGGTCTTTACTGCTGCCCTTTACGGGCTGGAGGTTTGACATTGCTCTCGTCTCGAGTAGTCTATTATGTATTGTCTCTTCTCTGTGAATAGTTGCTGATCTGGATGCTGGTTTGGAAGTTGTAAGTTCTTGGGGTAGATTTAATGTTGCAGATGTGGAGCTCTCAATTCAAGTCCGCAGCAAATGTCCATGTACCTTTTCTACGTACTCTATACATGAAAGGTACAAGCTTCAAAGTTACCCGCCTTCAAGACATCTTCCCAATTACCTACAGTAATACCATAGGTACATTCTAACCTCGTATTGTTACATGTATGAGACTCATAGGCGTCTAGAGAAATGCAGCAAACAATCTCCAAACTAGTTTAACGTCTGGGTATAATTCTAGTTAGTCTAACAGATAGATACATTATAAGTCGGTTATAAGAGGATTAGGTAGTCGGCATTCGTATTTTATCACGAGCCCCCTAGTCCGTCTTGATGTGAGCAATTGTATACACTATATCCTCGTAATCTCGACCTTGGCCCTTTCAAATACCTTATGACCAACCATGCCTCCACTACTTAACTCTTCATCTGTCACCGTTGGTGGAAACAGAGTCATTCGAGCATACGTCCCTGCGCCTCTCCTTTTCGAGAGGTATCCTGGGTTGATGATTACAACACTCTCCACGACCTAGAATATGTTAGTAAGTTTATCTGAAAAATAAGGGGCGATAGTTTATACGTACCCTTGCAAACGGAGGCAAAGCACTCGGAACGATCATAATATCAGGTCTCACCGTCACCATCTCTCCCAGCTTCAAATAGCTCGTGTCAAGCACGGCACCAGATGGAAGTCCGTCTTCTGTTCCGACCTTGGGCAATTTCTGCCGATCTACTGGAGGAAATATAGGGAAATAATGCCTTTGCTCGATCAAATATTTAGGAGCTCTAGAGAATAAGTGGTTGTCTGGAGGCCGGCTACCGACAAGCTCCTCGTGTTGTAGACCCCAAAGGATATCCTGGGACGAAATTCCGAGTACCATCTCATTGATAGACAGAGTCATAGGATTGCCGATTATACGTGCGGCCTTAGGTAGTCCTAATTCTTTTTTAGGAAAGGGATCTTGGGGCCAAGATACGTGTTTCTCGATAACGTCGCGCACGGACGGTACTAACAGAATGGTGATAGTTGGGTTTGATGCAACAAGTCGGTTCAGCGCTGGAGAAATCATATACTTAAAAACTGTAGACATTGTTGCGGCGTCTGGGTCTACGGCCGCGTCCTCCGGGAGATCGAAGTCGCCCGTAGCAATCAGAGGGTGGTCGACGTCGATGAACGGTCCTGTTAAGATGAGGGCGTCGGCATACGTGTCTGCCGCTTGGCTGCAGAGGGCGTGAAGCGGCTCGAAGTCGAGATTATCGTCAGCTGAATAGGGACCTGAGCCGAATATTATATTTAACGGTGCCGGCTCATCGCCCGAGTCCATTGCGTCTGGGCCACCCCGAAGTCTCTCCCTGTGGGCCTCGATACCGGCCGGCGTAGATGCAGCGCTGGGTAATAGGGGCATTTCCAGCACTTCTCGGACAACAAATTCATTCCCGGATGAGTTAATGCCCCTGAATGCGACGATTTGTCCCGGGAAAAACTGATAGCGACCATTAAGCTTTTGTAAGTTTAGGGGGATTCTCCGACCTCCCCCGGTCCGCCTCGATGTCTCTAGAACAAGAGATGCCGCGTTAAGTTTGCCTTCCGAAGAATCGGACGCAATTCGGCCTACAGCAACGATTTCCGTGGTACTTTGACTGGCCGCACTGCCGAACTCGCTCTCGTCTATGTTTTGGTGGTCTCTTATTAATCCTAGAAATTCGTCTATCCTGTCGTCTAGAATCTCAGATGCTTCCGAAGATTTCATAGCGAGCGTTTTGTAACCTAGCTTTTTTATATCTGAAGCTGCGGTCAATTTAATCCGCGATTCCGAATGCGGTGCAATTGGGGGCTCAGGGGGTTTAAGATGGTTATTAAGGACCTCTATCACCTCTCCTGGGTTCTGGCGGTCGTTAAAGGAAGTTGCTCTGTAAACTCTTAGTTTTCATTATACGGGTATTATATCCTGGTAGTGACTTACGAGCTAACATTCAGAGACTCTAATTCCCGAGCCATCGAGGGGGTATCGGGCTGGTTTCGTCTCTTAGAGGCACTCTTGGAGGCGTTCTTGTTTAGCTTTGCCGTAGCTGGAGTACTGGGGACCATTCCCTCTAACATCCCATAAACATCCCCGCCTCCCTTAACATTGCTGCGCGGTGTCCCAGCCGAGCGCTTCTCCGTCTTGATATGGACCTGATGCGTTCGATTGTTTCGCTGCAAGGCGTCTAGGATGTCTTGCTTGAGGGCCCGCAGGCTTTCTACAGACAGATTGTTCCCGTCCATGTCCATTTTTATGCAGTACGACTCCCACTTGAAAAATAAATCCTGAGCGGACAGGGAATGCATCTTCATAATAGATTGCAGCTCAGAGACGACATCGGGTTGTAGCTCCTTGTTCGGCGCACCGAACTGTTCGTTCAGCTCTTCTAAGTCTGCTTCTGCCATGGCTAATTAGGTATGATATCGATTTGTGCTGTGCTGTGCTGTTGAATACCAAACAATGAGAATTAGGTATTGTCACAGTCTTGCCTGGTAATTTACTGATTTTAGACTTGACGACGCGCTTTTTCTGACTTCGACGCGTCTTAAGCTTTCGCGTTAAGTGGTTTATCGGTTTATTGGTGACTTGTGGGTCACTGTACTTAGGTACTTAGGTACAGGTGCGTAGGTACCTACAGTATGAGGGAGGCGGTGTCCCGATTGAACGTAGCTTCAGGTACCTGAGCTTAAGTGACACCTAAGGACCCTTATATTATATAATGCTCTAACCGGAAACTATCAGCTTGGCTCGAAGCACAAGCCCACCAGGAACCCAACAACTCACTTAACGCGAATACCTAACTTCTACGTGGATAAGTTAGAGAAGCGCGTCATTGAGTCTTGGATTAAGTAGAAATTAGCATCATCAATATTACCATCATAATGTCTACGTCTAATACGGAAACAGCTCCTGAGATTGCTAAACCTTCAGTCCTCGAAGAGAAGACTGAGGTTGGCATACTTAAGACGCCACTTTCGGCTCCCACCGCAGGTAGCACCGCACCTGAAAAGCCGGCTCTTACTGCCGACCAGACAACCAAGTATGACTGGCTTTTAAACCGCGTGAAGGAATGGACGGAAGTTCAATCTAAAGAGAAGGGCGGTCCCTTGACCGACGGCGAGAAGATGTGGCTCACAAGAGAGTGTCTGCTAAGATACCTAAGAGCCACCAAGTGGCATGAAAAGGATGCAGAGAAGCGTCTACAGGAAACTCTGGCCTGGAGAAGAGAATACGGAGTTGACGAGTTAACTGCAGACCACATTGGACCTGAGAATGCTACTGGAAAGCAAATCTTGCTTGGTTACGACAAGCATTGCCGTCCTTGCCATTACCTAAATCCAGGACGTCAGAATACGGAAGTCTCGCCTCGACAAGTCCAACATCTAGTTTTTATGCTCGAGCGGGTCATAGACCTCATGCCAGCTCAGCAGGAAACCCTCAGTCTCCTCATCAACTTCAAGTCGGGCAAGAGCCGTACAAACACCGCTCCCGGCATCGGCCAAGGCCGCGAGGTCTTGAGCATCCTCCAGACGCATTATCCCGAGCGGCTCGGACGGGCCATGATTATCAACAGTAAGCAAGCTGACGATAATAGACTGCACTATGCTACATGAGCTAATGTGAAAATTATAGTCCCTTGGGTTGTAAACGGCTTCTTCAAGCTCATTACGCCCTTCATCGACCCGTTGACAAGGGAGAAATTGAAGTTCAACGAGGACATGACGCTGTACGTGCCGAAGGAGCAACTGTGGGCGGAATACCCAGGCGGTGAGCTGCAGTTCGAGTACAATCACGATGTCTACTGGCCTGCGCTGCAGAGGCTTTGTGCCGAGAAGCGTGCGGAGCAGGTGCAGAGGTGGGAAGCTGGAGGCAAGCAGATCGGAGAGAAGGAGGACTACCTTAAAGGCCATGATGCCCAAGGAGTATCACCGCCCCCTGGTTATTCTACCGACACCACCCAGGGCAGTACTGCAGCTTAGAAAATTCAGAACATCACAATCCCGCGAGGAATATTGAGGGCATGAGAAGTAGAGCATAGAGAGGGCGTATTATATTTGGATAGATTGGGTATTATAGGTATTGAACGGGCAATAAACTCCTTAGAGTATGTCTAGCCCGCGTAATTTATTATAAACTAGTATGTGTACACAAGCTGCAAAGCAAAAGTCCATCTACTTAGACTCTATTCTTCGCCTCTTATCATTTTCGTAGCGACCTGCATCCCGTGACGGATCTCTCTTTCTTCGACTACTATAATCATCCCTATCATGTCTCCTAGGGGATCTAGACCTTGACCCGGACCTATTCCTATGGCGCCTATCATCGTCTCTCGGGCGATAGCTATCTCGATCGCGGTCTCGTTCCCGCTCGCGGTATCTATCGTCATCCCGTCCCCGGTCTGGATTTCTAGGACCTTCCGGTGCACCGCGAACGGATTTCCCCTCGCCAATTGGCACCGCGTTAGCTCCGCCGGGACCAGAAGCCTCTCTAGTACGATCGGATTTGAATCTGTCGTCAACATTATATCGGTCGAATTCTTTCCCTGGCCTCGTGTCGCGAATATCACCCCATCGGCCCGTGTCCTCGGATTTGAGGTCCCTGTATTTGGAAGCGCCTTTCTTTCCCAATTTCGTCATATCGCGCATCTGCAGCGCCTTCGGAAGCAACTCGCGGTTCTTGACGTCGTCTGCGAATCGCGAGCCCATGATGTCTCGGTTGGCCAGACCTTCGGCTTCGGCCTCGTCTTGGTAGAATGCACCCTTGTGGAAGTACTTCTGCATGTATGTCATCTTTCCCTTCGCGTCTTTCTCTTCCTTCTGCTTGTTTAAGAAAGCTTCGTCTTCCGCTTTCCGTTCTTCTTCCGTCAGGTTTCTTCTGCGCTCGACCTCGGCTCTTTCCTTCTCGCGAGCTTCGATGGCCTCACGCTCTCGTTTGATACGTTTAAGTTCGCGTAGCTTCCATGCGGCATACTCGGCTTCCGGGTCTACGTCGTCTTCGGTATCGACGTCTTCTTCTTCGTCCACAACATCGTCCCAGTGTTTTTTCTTGGCCGCACGTGCCGCCGCAGCTTTGCGCATTTGCTCCTCCACCATTTCGTCCATAGCTTTCTTCTTCTTCGCCTCCTCCTCGGCTAGCTTAGCCGCCTCGTCTTGCTCCTGGGCGGATTCTTTGCCGCCATTACCGTTCCGCTGGCTTTTAGGTACAAACTTGGGTTTTAACATTAGCCGCCGCGGGGCCTCTTCTTCGCTACTTTCATCCTCCTCTTCATCGTCATCCTCGTCGCTTCCTTCTTCGCTATCCTCTTCGCTTTCGCTTTCTTCTGTGACGAAACCCTCTTCGGCGGCTAGGCGGGCGGCTTTCGCGGCCTCGACGCGTCTGGCATTCGACTCCTGCTCTTGTTTTTGACGCTCGTTAAGATCTACCTTGCTAAGGTTACTGATGATTTTTCCTGCACTTGGAACTTTGGGCGGTGGCGCGATTTTACGCTGGGTCTTTTGTTGCTGCTGGTCAACCTCGGCGTCGCTAGCTTCTGAACCAGATTCAGAGGACGATGATGCGCCCGTCGGCTTACCAGCGCGATAACGGGATGGTCGCGCAGGATTTGCGGTCATGCGTTTCTGGTGCATTGGGGGCGGCATTTTTGCAGAGAAGTTAGAAATATAATTGAAGACGCCAGTATTTAGCTTTGATTTCTGCAAGGTATGAGAAAGCTAGAAATGGTATTCAATCTGCAAAGACGGGATATTCATGTAAGTATAAGTGGGCCTACGATAGCCGTATTTATCGATAAGCTGGAATCTTTTAAGTGGTACGAAGTACCTTCATATTTAAAGCCTCCGATTAGCCATTGGCGATAGAACCAATGGCGATAGAATCCGAATCGCATTGTTAACCTCTCGCGTCCTGTCGTCCTGTCGTGGGATGGACAAAGTATCTCACTATGTATTTAAAGCCACAAATGATGAATTTTCCCTCCTACGCCGATAACGCCCAGAATGATGGATGTTCTACCCGGATACCCAAGGATCAAAGGATCTCATCGTCATCTTCTACTTCTTGTAAAGGAACCTTGTCCGCCGACGTAGCGCCATCATGGGCTTTGTCAAGCTGTGCATCATCCATCTCTTCATCCAATTCCGATAGTTCGTCTTCTCCATTGTCCACCTCTCCTTGAGATTCACTCTTGTTTGCGGGTATTTGGTTGTTGATCTCGTCCCAGGCTTTCCTTCGTGTCTGAATTGTTCGGGCTTGGCCCTTGCTTTTGGCAATTTTCCGTTCCGTCCTCTCCATAATGTTTGCAGCACGATCCTGTCCTTTCTCATGCCTCCTTCTTGCTTTAGAGCTCATGTTCCTACTCTTCGTCGTCTTTTTCGAAACTCCCGCTCCCTGATGTATGGCAAGCACAGAAGGGCGATGGTCGATTGATTCGGCAGGAGGTTTGACGTTCTTCAGGGACTTGTCCGTATCAATACTTGGAGACGTAGCACGTCTTGCGGCCCGCGAGTGAACGGAGGGAGCTACGTAGAGCATATATTGTTAGCCATATGAAATGCGGCTGAAGACGAAACAATAATAATAGAATTACATACCCTTCCTCTTCTTTGATATCGCGCCCTTAGCCATGACTTCTGCAGTTCGCGGGGGTTTGCTAAAGTTTTCTTGACCAAGACGACTTTTTTCAACCAAGTCCTAGACTCATCTACAAGTTGCTACGGATCCGTAAATGTTTTCAAAAAATGAAAAAAGTGCCCCGCAGGGTCGTTGATAACGATTTGTTCCAAAACCCGATAAGAAGTCTGGGGGAGGGACCTATGCGGCAGCTATAGCCAATCAGAGATCACATTCCTTGCAGCGATTATCCTTTTACGGTTTCTCTACAGACACAGCAAAGTACTCTCCTCCATTTATTATATGTTCGAGTACCTACCTATATTGTTCAGGACCCATTATAAATAGACTGTCACATCAGCCCTGCCTTCAATACAGATTACACAGTCAGACAGTATGTACCTATAAGTAGTCCCCGATTTTATCTCCTCCAATAAAAAACACAACCATCTCATTAACCATCCCGTTACAAACATCGAACAAGTGCTTTCAGAGATATCTACCTTTCGCATCGCCGTACGTGGATATAAATCTAGAGACGTGCAATTAGAGAGATATGAAACAATTTCCTCACTGCGATGGCGACTTTCGTCAACAATAAATTATTGTCTTAAAACCCCACGGAAGTTATCTCACATGTTCCATCTTTCAACAACAGTCCACAAACTCCAGGATGCGCTCCCACCCTTCTAAGGCACAACCCGACCGCCTTAATAACGATTATACTTATTACGTCCCCGATATCTTATTAGAACGATTGCAGCAACCCAGCGTCCTCGTACCGCTACTTCTCCTTCTATTCACTATCTTCTACCAGTATCTCCATTCTTCGCCCTTCTCGCGACCACGACATCCCGGAGAGCTTCTTTGGGACTTTATAGTAACCATAACCCCCGCGACTGTGCTCTATGCTCTCGACGGCTGGCTCCATCCACCTACATTCCCGACCCCGGGATCTATGTCATCGACACAACCTCGATCGCACGCCACCAAGAGTGAACTTCTTAGACGAATACTTGGGATGGATGGGCCAGGTGGCATAATAACATCTGTTGCTGACGCCGGCAGAAGAAGACTTTCTAGTCTATCAAGTAGCACGCTTGTCAAACATAAGACCGACCAACCCCCCGGCCTAGGAAACTACGATAATTCCTGCTTCCAAAACAGCATCCTTCAGGGACTATCGTCACTAAGGCCATTCCCCTTATATCTTGCAAGAGGCCTCGAACAAGATGGTTCTGATAGCGATGAGGAGTTAGGCTCAGCGAGTTCGTTACGAGATCTCATTTCGAAGCTAACGGGCAATAATTATAATGGGAAGACCTTATGGACGCCGAAGAAGCTAAAATCTCTAGACACTTGGCAACAGCAAGACGCCCAGGAATATTTCTCTAAAATACTAGATGAAGTCGAGAAGGAGATCATGAAAACAGTAAAACCTACTCCCCATTCACCCGGATTTGAAGTGGCCGGTATTAGGGATGATACCGAGGATAGCCAGCACAGTGATGACAGCGGATATCAGTCACTTCCAGTCCTTTCTAAAGCCGGATCAGACGCTAGACTTTTAAGAAATCCACTTGAGGGCTTACTAGCACAACGAGTAGCATGTGTTCAGTGTGGCTATTCCGACGGACTTTCCATGACTCCATTCAACTGTCTCACCCTCAATCTCGGACTTGAGCAAACAGAACACGATCTCTATGAGCGACTGGATTCTTACACGGATTTAGAGACAATCGAAGGAGTTGAGTGTGCCAAGTGTACGCTATTAAGCTATAGGAAGTTGTTGAAAATCCTCCAGTCTCGTAGAGGAAACGACGCGACCGAGACTGAATTACGAAAGCTTAATTCCCGATTAGAAGTTGTGGAACTTGCTCTTGAGGAGGACGATTTCCAAGAAACTACCTTGAAAGATAAATGCGAAATACGGAAACGAGTCAGCTCGACCAAGACCAAGCAGGTAGCTATAGCACGCCCACCCCAGAGCCTTGCCATTCATATGAATCGCTCGGTATTTGACGAAAATACGGGTCAAATGTTCAAGAATCTCGCAGCCGTGCGCTTCCCTAAGACGCTTGACCTTGGTCCATGGTGCCTAGGGAGTGCCGGCGGACCAGCTGGCCTCATTCAGGGAAGGATGGATTCTACCGCCAGTGCTTCTGATGATGAAGAGCAATGGGTTACAGATCCCAAGTCGTCGATGGTTTCAGGCGATATAAAGCCTTCTAGGATTAGCGGTCCACTTTATGAACTACGCGCGGTCATAACTCATCAAGGACGACACGAAAATGGCCATTACGTTTGTTATCGAAGGCATCCCTGTAAACCATCGAAACTTGAAGACGAAGAATCCGACTCAGGTATTGGAAGTGATAATACCGCAGGAGATGAAAGTACCCTAGCCGACGGGGTCGACGGAGACGATGGCGAGTGTACCGGCTCAACTACAGACGCGAAGTGGTGGCGCCTAAGTGACGAGAGTGTGTGGGAGGTATCCGAAGAGACTGTCTTGGCACAAGGTGGAGTATTCATGCTTTTCTACGATTGTATCGATCCAAACTCTGTTCTTGTCTCTACAATTCAACATGAAACAGAACAGACGGAGCCAGACAGCAGTATCTTCACCCCTTTCGGAGGCCAGGATATTGATAATACTGCAGAAGCAGGTAATACCGAGGGATTAGAGGATAAACCTTTGGAAAGTGGCGAGCAAGCCCACGATATACCCTCAACTGAAGAGCTTTCGGGGCTGGTCCGGACGAACGATATCACTAGCCCGCTAAGTGATGATAATCCCGGGGTCGAAATCGATAGTACACAACCACCAAAGACTAGGCCTCTAGGGTCGATTCTTACGCCGCTCCTCAAGGACGGCGAAAGGGTGGATCCCATAATCCCCCTTTGCCGGCCTAATAGTTGAGGGCGAGTGAAAATAATCGGGTCTTTCCTAAGCGAGTCTCCTGTAATAGCTGAATTACAATCGGCAATGAATGTATTATAATAGCCTGCTTCTTTGCATAGCCACGGCGTTCTGGTGGAGTGGATGATGGGAGATATTCCAGGCTTTGTATTTAACTATCATGCAGCGGATGTGTACTCGTTCAGGCGTATGTAGCCTTTGGTAACAACCCCTAAAGGGGTCGGTGTCGAGTTTTCTGTAAGGTAAACAACTTGACCTCCGTCGTTCGTTTACGTTTATGGGACATGATGTTCCTTATGATGCTATCGCATAGTAAAGTGATCATTAGAGCACTTGGACACACATATATACACGTGTATTTACCAGGTACCTAAGGCATATCTATCAGGTTAAATGAAATATAATTAGATGTATCTGGTTCCCACCAAATAAATTACACACGGCTTATTTCGGTGAGTTCGTAACATCTCCCGGCATTAATAGTGACTATATGCCCATAGTATTTGACATGATGACAGGCTCTACCACCCGCGTAATCTCTCAGCGAAAAACTGCATAATCGGCAACATCTCGTCTCTGTTCTGAGGCATGCCGTCGTCATTTTTCCTCCACTTGACTTCCCGTACATCTACAAACTCCCTTTTCAATAAATCTATCGCATCTTCATCGAGAGTCTCGCTTGACCTGCCATGACACGCTAACACCGGCGTCCGAGCCTTCTCTCGCGCGCTCACCGTCGATATCATACTCGACGGCAATGGCCCACCAATCGACACGACGCCTTTAAATGCCGCGCCCAGCACAGCTTCGTTCCCTTCTGTCACGTCCACGACTTTCTCGCCCTCGCAGAGTTTTGACGCTAGGCCTAGAGCCAGCGAGCCGCCTTGCCCGAAGCCGAAGAGCAGGATATCGTTTGTCTCCCAACCGCACTTCTCAACAAGCGTCTCGCGGATCAGTTTGCCCAGGACTAAGCTCTCGGCCTTCGTAAATCCCGGATCGGGGTCCAAGTCCCCGGTTGCCGGCGACAGGGCCAAGTCATCTCCCCAGTGGAAATGCCGGGTTGGCTGCGCGGCTTCGGCGGGTGGGAGACCTAGGAGAGAAGGGGGGAGGGGAGACACGCCGCGCACGGAGATGGCGAGGACGCCGGGTAGGTTTATGTTTTTGGCGAAGGTGGCGAAGGAAGCTTCGGAGTCCCCGAGGCCGTGGAAGAGGATTAGGATGGCGGTGGTGGTTTCCGGAACTTCGGGGAAGATTAGGGATGTGTGTAGGGAGGGGGGTAGGTGCTCGAAGTCTTCTGGTTTGGGGATTCTGGTCGGCATTTTTATTTTATGGAGGTTATGTCAGCGGGGAGGTGATGGAAGCTGGTAGGGTAGTTTATTGGTAGATGTCCGGGAGCCGGTGATGCAGGAGACATCCAGCAACGTTCTAAACCGGAGCCGGGATCCACCGGTACGGGGAATGGAGGTCCTGCTAGTGCGAGATACTTAGGTACCTATGACGTGCAGGAGGTAGTATACTGAATCGTACCATCCATTGTCCAATGGAAGATAGTATTCGATAGCTCTAATCCTAGGAAGCGGGCTACATTATAGCACTACTACATTTCATGGGTGATGAACCAAATTGGTAGTTCAATCTCCGACCGGCTTAGTACCGCCTTGGAAATAACCACCCGCACAAACCAGAGGACGACAGTTCGACACGTGCGTATCACGCTGATAATACCATCTTGATTTTACGAGTGTTACTCCTAATGCTAAAGATATAGTATATATTCGTTCTTGACCATGGCTGTTAATTTGAATGATGGACTTTCCTTTTTACTTTACGCGCTACAAGCCGATAGCTAAAAAGACAGCATCATGCAGATATCACAAGTCATTATCATATCTCTAGTATCTAGAGTCTGTAATGCGGTAACACAATATCTAGCACCGGTCCAGGACATAAATTTCCCTAGCAGTGAAACCGCGACGAACCCCCTTCAATGGCTGGGTGCTAACGGGCCATGGCATGCGGGTGAGGTTCCAAAATACCCATATAGCCTCGGATTTTACTCATCATATTACTATGACCAGGCCCAAATGTATTCGGAATTTCACCTGAGCCTCCTCAAAACTGTCATGTCGATCGAGCCGCCTATGTCTCGAGACACGGTTCGAGGTACCCAGACCAAGGAGCTTATGATGGGTGGGTGTCGATGTACGAACGGGTTAGCAATTTTACCGTTTAATAGATTTCCTTGATACCAGCTAACATCTCGTAATTAGTTTAAAACCGGCAACTATACTGCAAGCGGGAGCTTGTCATTCCTCTCAAGTTGGCGGCCGGTCCTTGAAGATCCCGCATCGCAGATTGGCATGGAAAACCCTACTGGTATAAAGGAGGCTCTTGATATGGGTTATGCACTACGTACAAAGTTTGCTATAATTCCATATCTTTGTTCTTGGAGTAATTAGGCTGACGACAGCAGGTATCCGGGCCTTTACCGAGAGGGAGACGAGTTTATGGTATGGGCTAACAATTATACTCGGGTTCTCCAGACGGCGTCTATGTTTATTCGCGGCTACTTGGGGGTCGCAGTTTCTCAGAAGGGGAGCATAATCTCGGTCACATCTCGAGGTTTCCCGGCTGGCGTTGGGGACTCGCTGGCCCCCTCAGATATGTGTCCTAATTTCAAAGATTTAGAGGGGGGAGAACAAAAGTCAACTTGGGATGAAATTTGGATCCCGCCTGTTCAGGATCGTCTACAGAAGCTGATAAAGGGGAACTTATCTTTGACAGCTGGAGATATCGCGCAGATACCCTATCTATGCGGTTTCGAGAGTCATATCACGGGCCAACTTTCACCCTGGTGCGATGTGTTCACCGATGAAGAGTTGAAGCAATACGAATACTCTAATGATCTCCGTTATTACTATGGTATTGGTCCAGGTACAGACCTCCCCAAGAAGATGATGACGCCTTTCTTGAGTGCACTCGTTGGCATCCTGCAAAACGGATCTACTACAGGCGTAGGGGTAAACGGCTCGACTTTCAACATTCCGAAGCTTCTAGTTTCATTCTTGAATGACGGACAGTTAACCGAACTGGTAACCGCGAGCGGCGTTTTCGATGGACAATCCGCGTTGTCTGCTACCGAGAAGGACGATAATAGACTATGGGTAGGGTCGCGGTATGTGTCAATGAGAGGCACAATTGCTTTCGAACGTCTAAACTGTACCGTGAAAGGGGATGGTGAAACTGGGGCTTATCCCTCTGACGGGTTGAACAACACATACATTCGCATCCGCTTGAATGATGCAGTGTATCCGATACCTTCTTGCAATAATGGGCCTGGAGCATCCTGCAAGCTGAGCGACTATGCCAAACATGTTGCGGAAAAGTATGCCGCCGAGGGGAACTGGATTACGAACTGCAATGTTACAGTTACAGAGGATACGCCGGCGACGGTGAAAGGAGCAAGCTTCTTCAGGGATATCAGCAAACCATGGGTTAGGCGGTTAGCTGTTTGAACCTTTAAGTCTTTTAGTTCAATTACTAAGAGACTGGGAATGAGTTGACGTCTTCAAGGAGGCTTAGCAGTGCTTGGTATGGGTTTGATGGAATTTCGTCTACTTTAGGTACCGTACTAGGTAGGTACTTTGTACGGAATATACTTCATGAGATAGGTACGATAGACGAGTTCGTGAAATACCTTTCTATTTAATGTAGCACTTAAATAAATGATTATTATTTGAATATAGATTAGACTGGTAATACAGTAATAATAGTATAAGTTGAAAGTGAAGCTTGTAAATGTAATCTGTAGGTACGTGCAGCGGGTCTGACAGGTACCGCATTTACTAGGCGCATAGGCCAATCCTACGTTAGCCCCGCCGGTCAGGGTCAAGACCAACTTTAAACCTTAAAACAAACGATTACCTTAGCAACTTTCCGTGTCGCATATCGACAACAATTGCCTATCACTTAAAGTAACACAATATCAAATTGGTTCGACATAGCCGACAAGTAAATCTAACCTTTGCCATAGGTAAATAATCCTACCGAAGTCACGAGAAAAAGGTGTTGGACCTTACGAAATCTACGAAATCTACGAAGCAGCTAGCATGCTATAGCGCCTAGCGCAGTAGCTTCTACCAGCAGCCCGCTTCAGCTCCTCCCCCAAACCGAATGTATAGTCGCGATCATGTCCAATCGGTACGGCGGGTCATACCGCAACGGTAATGGCTACGGTTCCGCCGCGAGGCAAGACGAAGAATATGATCCCTTTGGCGATGGCTATACGAGCGATCGCTTTGGCACCCCTCCTCAGCAGCTAAATCCCCGAAGACCGCCCCTTGAATCCGTTCGGGGTGCTGGTTACAGCTCCTCGGCCTCTAGAGTCCAGCGCACCAATGAATCGAACGCCGAGAAACAGATAGGTCAGGTACTTGAGCTCATCAAGTCCGAATGGCCTGCTATGGTTCAGGATGACTGCATACCCGTCTCGTTAGCACTTCAGTTGCTAGATAACAGCTCTGTTGGCCGAGCACACGAATATAGAGATTTTAAGAAGACACACCAATACTTGCAGGACTCTCTCAAAAATATCGTACACGAACACCATCAAGGCTTCAATAGTTCTATTGGTACCTTTCATAAGATACAAGGGAGTATACAAACGTCCCAGAAACGCGTGCGTGCTCTGAAAGAATCTCTGGCAACGTCAAAAACGAGTCTCTGCGCAACGGATCCGGAACTCAAGAAGTTTTATAAGACGTCGCAGATGTATGATGAGGTTCTACAGACATTAAATGAACTGGAGGACTTGCGGACAGTACCGGACCAATTGGAGGCTAGAATATCAGAGAAGCGGTTCTTAACTGCTGTCGAAGTCTTGCAAAATGCACTGCGAAAACTGCGGAAGCCGGAACTCGATGACATTGGAGCTTTAAGTGACCTGAGAAGCTACCTTGCTAACCAGGAAACCGCTCTGATGGACATCTTAATCGAGGAGCTACATGAGCATCTCTACCTGAAGTCGCCCTATTGCCAGGAGCGGTGGCAGAACTTAGCCAAGAATCAGGGTGCCTACAATGAAAACTATACCGACCCAGGCATTCTTACTCCATTTCATTTAATCCTAGATACGATGGATCTTGAGCGCCCGGTAACCGAAGATCCCGCAAAGAACCCAGAAGCCGATACCTTTTACTATATTAGTCTTGTCGTTGAGTCATTGAACAAGCTTGGCCGCTTGGAGAGCGTGGTTGATACCCTGAAACAACGGCTCCCGGTTGAGTTGTTTTCTATCGTAAACGAGACAATAAATGAAGTTGATCAGAGACACCCTAGCTCTTTAAGAGGCGGCTCAGGCAACGCACAGGGCCTGCACATATATGGCAGCAGGGAGACGCATATGCGTGCCGATGTCATATATGACCTATTATGGACATTGTATGGTAAATTTGAGGCTATTGCCGAGGGCCATAGAGTTTTCCACGAAGCTATTAAGGCGCTCATTCGACGGGAGGGTGCTGGTAACAACAGCTCCCTCCTCGGGAGCTTCAAGGAGCTGTGGAATCTATATCAAAACGAGATACGCTCCCTTTTACACAATTACGTCACAACGGATGCAGATGTCTACCAATTTAACACCTCCCTTAGGCAGGGTATGATGCTTAATGGTAATAAGGACACATCCAGGGAGCATCTATTCAAATTCTCCGAGGCGGATCCTAAATCCGTCGAAATGACTACCGAATATGAGGCCCTGGATGGGATTATACGAGCTGCAGTTCCTGGTCTCACATCCGCGTCCCAAAAGAAACAGGCTTCGGACAAGAAATCATCAGCTGGTAGAGAGTCGAGGAAGAGTGCATATACCGGAGCCTTCGATAATAGAAATGCACCTGGCTCCTATAAATCTCTTGTGGAGCCAAGCGTATTTAACATGAGTCTTCTGTTACCGCCGACTCTAGTATTCCTGCAACGCTTGAAAGCCATCGTCCCCCCAGGGTCGGACTTGGCTGCAAGCACTCTGACATCCTTCCTTGATAATTTCCTGGTTAATGTTTTCCAACCACAATTGGATGAAACGCTTAGCAAATTGAGCGATACAGTATTTGGAGAAGTAGATTCGTTCCAGCAGGACCCGGCCTGGGGCTTGGTTGCGCGTCGGCCAGTCTTCAAGGGAACAACAGCATTTTTTGCTGTCATTACTGCTTTCTGTCGCATGCTTGGGACGATTCCTCATGATCAGGCGCTGAGCTCTTTGATTATCTCCCAAATGGCAAGATATTATGATAGATGCCTTGCGTGGTTCAAATCACTCGTCGCCAAAGCGCAAGAAACCACTACGATCCCACAAGCGTTGCGATACTCTGCCGAATTGGCTACTAGGGATGGAGACATACAAGAGACAGCCAAAAAACTTTGGACTTCGGACAATCTCGACCATACGTTGATTGAAAAGGAAGTTGGACTACTTATTATGCACGCTAATGAACGATCTCTTGAGCCAAGCGATATCATACAAGACCGCGATGTCATTTCGTCTCTGTGTCTTCTATACACTAGCATGAAATGGCTTTCGGTAAGAATTGTTGGCCTGCGACATATTACTAGGTTCGACACAGATTCTTCTCAGCCTACTCTGCCGAAGAACCAGAATCGCCGGTGGACTCTCCTGAACGACGCCAGCAAGTCTAATGGTGAGGATCAAGGTCCCATATACCTACCGATGACGCAGGAAACCGTCCAGTAAGTTCTTCAAGCTTTCTTGCCATTCTTTTCCGTAACCACTTGGCTCATTATCTTGTAGGTCATTTGATAATATAGTGTCCTCCTATGAGGAATTCGCTGGTATGGTACTCCTTACGTTGCATATGGAAATCCGATGCCGTATTATCCATTCTCTCAGGGTAGCGCTCTCTCCCGAAACAGCACCATACGTCCTAGGTGAGCAGGAGATTAAAGAACCCGACCAGCCGGTTCTGTCGTTGAATTCCGAACTCGTTGCCTACGATGAGACGATTGTGCGCTTCCTCCGCGACAAGGAGACGGCGTTTGTGCGGACAGGCTTGGGCTTGCTCATCAACACATACTTAGTATCCAACGCGCTCGCTACGCAGCCTATGAACTTGCGTGGGTGCGAACGCATGCAACTAAACATTCTCGTGCTCCAGCAGAACCTTAAGAACATCGAGGCTGGCGTAGATCTCACGCGTGCGGCAAACTACTATAGTCTATTCCAGGATGGCCCAGACCAGATCATCGAAAAGGCCAAACGTGATAAAGAGCGCGAAGCGAATGGATCTCCCGTGCCAGAAGCGGAGAGGTTTACTTACGATGAGCTCAAGGCTATGGTTGAATTATGCTACAGTGAGCAGCTTGCTGATCCGGAGAGGGGTGTCGCCGCTGCTGCTAAGAGGAAGATGGGCGAGAAAGTGTTGGCACTGAGCGAGTTCATGTGGCAGAGTTAAAACGTTGGCTTATTTGCATTGCGATTAGGAGCGGCGTGTTGTAAGCCGGTGTTTTTGGAATTGCGATTTATAGTATACTACGATATGGACGAAAGTTTTTTGGGGCGGAAATATCTATATCGTTTGTGTATAAAATTACCTAGCTTGAATGTTCAAAAGCTTGGCGGGTTAGGCCGGTACCTTCTCCCTAATGAAGGATGTAGACAACTTTGGAGATAGCGATATTACACGAAAACTGTACGCAAGGGAGAAAGTAGCACAGCTATTGTCTGGCCACGTAATGTGCCTGACTTTGTTCTCGTTTACCACCACCATCGATCATTGAGCAACCTTCTCACGTCTAACACATTACGAATGCAGTTATTGTTGCACTTCGGGGGAGATAGGACTCCTACCTTTTCTTCTTCTTCCTTTTTTTTTTTTTTTTTTTTTAGAGAGAAATCTGGTGGCTTAGAGACTCGTTTCAACTGGGTTGGGTGGCGGTGGGATATTTAACAAGGTAACTGGTGTCACGTTAATTGAAAAATTCCACGATACGAGGAAAAACACGAAGATTTGGCAATGGGTGAAATGTAATACTTGTCGCTTCCACCAAGTAGATATTCCTCCTGCGGCTATCGCCAAAACCGACTCGCCGAGAGGTGCAGCTGCGAAGAACCCCTGATAAGTTGACTGGCTGAGGATCGACGCTTGTTGCGAGATCAAACCTTGGCACTTCCCCCCGATGTGGCGGCGCGTATCTGCAAAGCTTGTCTACTATTGTGTTTGGTTTGCCGTGTAGGTATTAGATGAATACCATCTGATCTTTAAACAGCAGAAACGGGAGATAGCTGATGTTAAGTATATTTAATTAACTCTAAGTTAGCAGTTAGCTAGACCAAAGGAACAAAAGGAATAGTTTTACAGGCTCTTGGCCTGCTTTAGTTAGGGGGAAATGCTGCACACATTTGCAACAATGCATTCAAGGGGCACATGTGGACTATGGACTTATTTACGTTCCTTAATATTTTTCTTCCTTTGCTGCACAGCGGTGACGGTGAGAGATACCGTATCGTATCAGGTGTACAATCACCAATAGGAGACGGTTTAGCACAGATCTTTTAGATCATGAGGCGTCGGCTAAGGCCAAACAGACGACGGGACCCTCCTTTTGGCGTTTCCTCAATGTGGCGTTTGATGGGGACTCTGACGCGAAACAATGGCATTCGATTGGCTAAAAGGGGGAAACGAGAAAGGGAACAGGAATCCTCGATCTCCAATAAACAGAGGACAGACGAGTTGGCACAACGTTGCCCCCCAAATGTGTTTTATGCACTATGACAATATGACAAAATGACAATAATGTCGTCAGATCAAACGTCAAATAAGCGAAAGAATTTACTGATGTAGACATTGTTAATGAGAAAGGAGGCGACTTTAACGAGGGCAACATTAAAAGTAGTATAAGTGATAGATGTAACTACATACATTATAGGTCAGTATGTATTAATGGCATGGGCTGCTTAATACCTTGATATGAATTAGCCCCGAACTTGCTAGGCCGGTTAATTATTACCTTATGCTTCACCAGGTTCGCCTTCATACTACTTCCAACCGTTAAGTGATTCCATCCCGGTGGTGAAACTTAAGGCAGTACACGTCGAAATGAGACCCCGTAGTCTAGAACCTCTAGTGTATGTACATGGAAGGGCCCAAGCTACATACATTCCACATGCCTAGGTATGTATGTACTTTTTAAACCTCCTGAGGTAACATCTAGAAGTTTCAGCGGCAAGAGCCTCACTCCCTATTATTAGTAGCTACACATGTAGGTGGTGAGGTTATGTAGTGTAAAGGTTAGATCCCATGTCCCTTTTTCTTCTGTGTTTATTTATATCTACCGATACCTTAGCATGCAGGCATCATACAACAAATCATACCTAACATTGTTTGTTGTTTAAGCACATTAAAAAAAGAATATGGGATGGAAGCAGGATAAGCAGGATCGAGACGAACTTGAATTGACCTGCCTCTCCCAGATAATAGGCACAAGTACACTAGGTAGGCTCAATGGGGGAAGTTAATTTAATACTACCTAATTTGTACCATTTATACCGATCTGTACACGCTGCGTACCTAGCACATACGTAAAATTCAGGATTGTGGAACTAATCGGTATGTGGTTACACTAGAGGTACATTCTTCTTGCATAATTTCGCACTGTACTTTACATCGCAGTTTTCGTCCGTTCTGCCCAAGTTCTCGCCCTGCAGTACAGTGAGAAATGAGAACCATCTCAAGGTACCCAAGTAAGTCACCTAAACTAAACTAACCCAAGCACTGCAGCATAACCGTCGCTAATCCCCCCTTGAATAGGCGCGTCACCCACTGACCATCAATCCCCTTGAAATTCAACATTGGACGAGCCCCCTTCCAAGTTCCAACCTTCATCCCATCTCCGGTTCTACATACACTCACATCGCGTCGCAAACATCGAAGGGGGGGAAACAACAAAAATCATCTCCTTTGCCCTCCATTCATCTAAAGAATAATTCCGTTCGTTTTTTTACATTCTGAATTTCACACCCAGTCTCCGCGGTAACTCTGCGAAAACCCGTCAAAATCGCTAAAAAAGCTAGGACGCGCCAGAAACCCACACTCCTTCTAGAGATCCACCTCCCAGGTCCCAAATAGTTACTAGTGATTCAGGTCCCAGGATTCGAGGATATTGCAGGTCAAACTCAGCAACAATATCCAGCCAAGCTTGCATCAAAATAAAAATAAAAATATCCGCGTCGTTATCAATCTCGAGTCAACCATCGCTTCGTTCCCATTTTAGCGAATCGATAATTTAAGGAACAAGGGAAAGCTGGATCTGAAATGACAAAGATATTGACGTTTCGATAAAAAAAAGCCCAGTACCCGCCCATTCTCCACATAGGATCCCGACCAGTCTCGTCTACCTCCTTTTTGTGGTAAAGGGGAAAAAAAGAGATAACTATCATTTCCTCCGCTATATGATATACTCCAACGTTTACGCGCGCACCTCTATTACACCAACGTCCGTTCCATTCGGGGTACCGTTCTATCTTTATTCAGCCCTACACGACTACATTTCCAGTTGCAATTCCCCTTAGTCGTTGTCGATCTTTCTTCTTTAGTCATAAAAATCGCCAATACGGCTATTCCGTCGCATACTTCCAAATAGTTTTTGTGCCGGATCGCCTTGCTCTCTTGAGCATTGCTGCTATACTACACCTCCTACGAAGTGCAATTTTTATCTCTAGGGACTCGTCAAGCTAGAACCGCCCAACATGTCGTAAGTTAGCTTCCAATTTCTAGCTTGCGCTTGCTAATTATGAACATCTAGGCTCGGAGGAGCTTTTCGCTCATTCTGGCACACCATGACCAGTTATGATCGACGTGAGTAATCCGATGTAGTTGTTAGTTATCGCATCTACTTACTTTTCTTTTAGACTCATCATACGATTCTCCCTATCGAACCGGTCGCCATGTACCTCTTAATAGACAAGACACCCTCACATCGGTTGCTACTGCTTCAGAATCTCGAGCTGATATTACGTCCCCGTACATTGACGAACTTGGCCGGTTATCTAGCGGCATGGATGGCACATCGTACTCAGGCGTCGGTATTCCAGTAGCATCTCCTCTCTCTCCCAACTCTAACGGTCCATACTCTCCTGGTTTACGGTCTCTCAACGCTCAACGCCAAAACGGCAAGGACGATGGATTTGAAACTGTTAGTAGCCCTGGAGAAATTCCGATGCAGTCTTTTGCAAACGGTGCGCCTCCGGCACCTCCGGCGGCTCATTCATGGAGGCGGATAGATAAGTGGGCCGAAGAGAATTATCCAGAATTGTATGATCAGCTATGCGAAGGGTGCACAACCAACGACTTAAACGAACTAGAACACCAGCTAGACTGTTCGCTACCTCAGGATGTTAGAGACTCCTTAGCGGTTCACGATGGGCAGGAACGCGGAGGTAATCCAACTGGAATTATTTTCGGTTCTATGCTTCTTGACTGCGAAGAAATCGTTCAAGAATGGGACCAGTGGCGGAGAGTTAATCAACAGTATCTTCTTGAAACGTCGGTCGCGAAGCCTGCAGTTCCTTCCAAGGCATTCGGCGGCAGCAGTCAAGCGTCCTCATCCAAATCTGCTCCTGGTTCGCCTAGTTCGCATGGATCACAGAAAGAGTCCTGGAGACAGGATCTTCAGGCTCGTCAAGACTGTGTTCCTTCGGGAGCAGTTCAACGAGCCTACGCGCACCCTGCTTGGATTCCTCTTGTACGAGATTGGGGCGGAAACAATCTTGCTGTTGATCTTGCTCCCGGTCCAAATGGTATTTGGGGCCAGATCATTCTCTTCGGTCGGGATTATGATACGAAGTATGTCGTCGCCAGGTCTTGGGGAGCTTTCCTGTCGGTGGTTGCGGACGATTTGAACAGCGGCAAGTGGTTTGTTGATGAGGATACTCAAGAGCTCAAGCTTCGCGAGTTTAAGTCGACTCGTGTTGAGCCATCTTACTTCGATATCCTAAGGTGGAGGATGGACCAGAAGCACGGACGCGGCGCCAAAGTAGCCGCCAAGCGCAGATCGCAGATGCTAGGTATACCTACCTCTCCTGGAGGTTCGCCTTATGTTAATCCAGCGGATGCCGGTGGAGAGCCCCGAGGCCGTACTTTGCAGCGTCTAAGTAGTCCGTCGCCTCTAGTAAGCCCCAATCGTCCCGGTTTCGGAAAGCCAAGTCCTCTTGCACGAGTTGCCGAGGAAACGCCCAGCTCGGCGTCTAAGCCAAGCGCGAATGGTACTACTCAGCCTAAGCTAGTAGAAGTCGAGACCCCTCGACCTAGCGATGAGACACCTAAGTTTCCGTCGATTGCTGAGGCCAAAGGAAAAGACGTGACACCGCCGGAATCCACGAAGACAAACGGTACCACCGAAAGCGAAGACCTAGAAGAAGGGATGAAGACCATTGAGATCTGATATGAAAGTTCGACGACCGACAACGAAATGCATTATAACACGACTACTTAATAGACAGCAAAAGGGAGGCGTTCAAAGGTCAGAACCGGTGCAGATCAGCATCGCCACTATATTCGGCAGAGGTCTCGTTTCTTGTAGCTGCACGCACAAATCTTCCTGATTAATATTCCACCGACGTTGGGACCCATTGATAGAGCGGGATTTGGACATCCCTTCAGCAGGACTCGACCAAGATCCTCGACGGCACATAAAGATTTTAATTCAATAGGTGACATGCCACTATTCTTGTACTAATACCATTCGTCTACTTTTATTCAGTTCTGGTCGTTCACCCTCTTTGATATTATTAGGGGGGTGGCTATATGGCCGGATCTGGGTTCTTCCGTTCGTGGAGATAGAGACAGAGATAGCGAAGCGGCCAGAGATGTTTGTACAGTTGGTTAGCGAACCTGTGGCGGTTAGGACTGCATTCTGTCGACGTAGTAGCATTATCAAAGGGGTTTTAGTTTGTAGAGCCGCGACAGAGATTCGAGCTACCGACAATGAATAAGAAGACGAAGAAAGGCGTTCAGGGAGGAGTCTAGCGTCGAGTCTCGCAGGCGTTGGTGGTAGCACATCGTACTCGGTCAAGGTTTCAGGACTCAATATATGACTTTAGCACACTATGTATAGGGAGTGGGCGCCTAATCAGAGACACTCGACGAAGGCATGGGGACAGGTACCGTAGAGCTTTTTTGAGCTTTTAATATAAAACTGATTGAGAATGATGGTTGAAATTTCTGTCGTAAAATGTCCGTCATATCGTCATCTCCACCTCATTAGCATTGTATACCTAAGGTAGGTATGTATGAGTAAAGTTAATTAATCGTAGAATCAATGCTGTGGTGCTGCTGGATACACAAACCTTACTCCACGGACCTGCATAAGACGCACGCGGCACATGTGCATAGACAGTATACCTAGGTACAGTGTAAAAGGGGATCTATCACGTGCCGATACCACGCAGCTTGTTAATGCCAAGACTCTACCGGGTCGTCATCAGCCTCATCAATCAATCAATCAATCAATCAATCAATCTATCTATCTATCTATCTATCTATCTATCTATCTATCTATCTATCTATCTATCTATCTATCAATCTATCTATCTATCCCCCTAAGCTCGGAACCCCAGCTAGAGCTAACGACCGACTTGTTCCTTTCCACTAAACATCATTATATCCATCCCTCGGCCTTCGATAGGTCTTGTTGATTCGAAAACCCGTCTATCCAAACGTTCACGACTATGGAGGAAGACCGCCTCTTCAAGTTCCGCAGGCCTGCTTGGCTTAACAGCGCCTGGGCGCGCAGCGCGGGCGTGTATACGGCGGGTGCGCTGGTACGTTGATGATAATACCGTCTCTCTCTCTCCTCCGTCCCTCTCCTCTCATGCCACCCCTCCTTCCCTTCCTCTTCCCTATCCGCTACCTATGGTTGGTTTATTCCGCTGCTTCCCGGGCTAACCCGCCGACCCTCGCAGTTCTCGCTCGCATTCTACATCATGATCGACGCAGCCGTATGGTCGAAATCGCCCCTCAACGGCTCGGACGTACACGTGACGTTTGTGGACTGGCTGCCGCTGATCTTCAGCTCGCTGGGCATGCTGATCATCAACTCGGTGGAAAAGGCGCGCTTGTCGGCCGATTCGTTCTCGTACAGCGGCTCGGGCGTCGCGTGGAAGGCGCGCGTCGTCTTGTTCCTTGGCTTTGCGGCGCTGGCGGGTGGTATGGCCGGGGGCGTGACTGTGTTTGTGCTTAAGTTTGTCGTGCCGAATGTTGGGTGGCCGATGATGGGGATGGGCGTGGAGAATGTTGTTGCTAATGGGCTTGTGATGCTGAGTTCGGTTGTGCTGTGGGTCAGTCAGAATATGGAGGATGAGTATAGCTATAACCTGTCTCTATAATGAGGGCGGGAGTTGAAGACTCGCTATCGTGAGTGAAGGGTTTAGTAGGGAGGCTTGCGTGAGGAGATCCTGAAGCTCGAGATGATAGGGAGGTTGCGGTACTAGGACGGATGGATGCCTAGTCGCCGGGAAGATTGAACTACTATTTATTGTACAACACAGCAGAAGCGGCATCGCGGTATCGCGGCATGGGACTGGTCCAGGCGAGGCGAAACTAGGCGTGTAGTAATTCAGGGTTTGTTTAACTTTCTTCGCGGGAGTTTCAATATCACATATATTCAACTGGCACTGCTAATGACTTCACGCTTGATTATTATAATTTATTCGTTGAAGCTGTTTGTCTTAATTCGCTATTTTTAGCGAAACTCGGTGGTGAAAGGTGCGTAAGTATTACACTTCGCGATCGCAGCGGAACACAGCTAGCCTCAGTACTAACGAAATCCTTTGCTCTCGGTGGCAATGTCAGCAGGTTTGACGTCGCATCTTCCATTTAATTTCCCATATTCGTAGCCAGATACTGTTAGCTCTACTCCATTTCGAGGGAAACGAGACTAGGCGCTACTTCATTAGAAAACAGACCACTCGCCCACTCGCACGTAAAGTATGAGAATATAGAGACAATATATCGGTGTAAGTGGTATAAGAGTTTCTTTATTCATTATACTTTACATAGCCGCCACCAAGCGGCATCGCATAGACGGATATATCATGGACTTTTCATGAACGCCACCCCCTTGCACTGTAAGGCCTCGAAATGTCTACCGACGTCCTCAGGGTCATAACCATGAACGAAAGCTTAGTGTTTGCCGAAGCAGCAGAAGTAGTAGTAATACAGAGATTCTTCTAGTATACGCCTCGCCATGACATACTACGAGAGAGGAGACAGCAGTCTATAAAAGAACATTAGTAACTTTGTGCTGGAGACCTATATCAAGGGCAGGGTAGAAACATACTTGATGATCGAAGGACGTGGGTCGCTGCGCGTGTAGCCTGTAGTAGTTGTGCGGTTAGATATTGTCTTCGTAAAGCGTTCGTCATTTTCTTATAAAGGCCGATCAAGGCGTACCTAAGTAGAGTATCAGAGGCAGGTAGCCGCTATAGTATGATGTTAGCATCGTGAACATATTTAAATCGTAGCCATTGGAGGGGTAGCGCATACTAGTGCATTGCGACTCGTCCGATTTCAATTATCTTTCCAATGCGCTCCTTGGATTCTTCCGAGAGGGCGAACATGATGGGCAATGCTATTCGACGAGAAGCGAGCCGATAGAGTGAGAGATCGTAAAGTTGTTAAGGATGGATGACAGCGACTTTGGCCTTGTTCGTCGTTTTAGTTGATGCGAACGTAAGGAATAACCCTTTTGAGCTTTATGGAGATGTCGTATTTGCTATTTGCTATTTGCTTGACGATATTTGAGCTCAAAATTCATCTGATAAGCCCGTTGATAAACCGGGCGGGACAAAGAATAAATAAACGCTCGATGTAATTGGTTCAAGTTAATGAGTGGGTATTAAATAAAGTTAGGACCAATCAGAGCCAAAGACAATCAGAAGCCACAGATGGCTGGAGCTATCCCTGCTATCTTCAACAAGCCTCCAGGAAAGTTTCAATGTTGGAAGTTTTGGAAGCTTCGATAAGTAAAGGGACTCCACAACAACACTCACTACTTGCATGCATAGTACAGGTACAGTATACGAGTCGCGACATTCTTTTTACAACATCTCCCTTTAGACTCAACTTCGCGGCGACGCAAGATAGAATTTTAGCATAGAAGTTCACCGAAGAGCGTCGCATCAAGATGTCGGGGGCGAAGCATTGGTACGTTTCTCACGGTTTACACGCCGACACAACATTCGATTATACTAACTAACTATCGTAACATCAGGGAGCAAGATAAAGAAGCCACCGTCTATGTGGGTAATATCGACGAACGCGCTACTGATGCTCTGATATGGGAGCTGATGGTCCAAGCCGGCCCAGTAGTCAACGTACACCTCCCCAAAGATCGCGTGACACAATCCCATCAAGGTTTCGGTTTCGTCGAGTTCAATGGCGAAGTCGACGCCGACTACGCCGCCAAAATTATGAACGGAATCCGCCTATACGGCAAACTCCTACGCGTTAACAAAGCCTCCGCAGACAAGCAGAAACCCCTCGAGATTGGCGCCGAACTCTTCATCGGTAACCTCGACTCTATGGTCGACGAGAAGGTTCTCTACGACACTTTCGGCAGATTCGGCACTCTGATCGCCCCTCCCAAGATCGCTCGCGACGACAACGGTTTGAGCAAGGGTTACGGTTTTGTTAGTTATAGCAGTTTCGAGGCTAGTGACGACGCTATCAACAACATGAACGGTCAATTCCTCATGAACAAGGATATCAGTGTGCAGTACGCGTACAAGAAAGATGGCAAGGGCGAACGCCACGGAGATGAGGCCGAACGAATGCTTGCAGCTCAAGCAAAGAAGCACAACGTTACCATCGAAAGCCAGCCTATGCCTCCCGCACTCCTTCAGAACCCTACTCCAGCTCCTCCACCTGCAGCAGTCGTTCCTCCGCCAGCTATGGCTACTAGTGGATTCGACCCTTCCATGGCTGCCGGAATCCCCCCTCCGAGACCACCGGTAGGATTTGCTCCTCCTCCTCATCGTGGGCCTCCTCCGCCATTTGGTGTTAATGGTGCGCCTCCGCCACCAGGGGCCGGAAGACCTAATGTTCTACCACCCGCTCCATCAGGATTACCCGCTCGTCCCCCGCCCTCGCAAGCTGGATATGGCAGTCCGGCAGACTTCCATCCCGGTGGATTCCGGATGCCCCCTCCGGGCTTTGGCCCTCCCCCTGGCGGTGTACCACCACCTCCTCCCGGATTTGCTTCTGCCCCTGGGTTTATTCCTACTGAAGGTCAAAATCCGGGCTACGGCCGGTGAAGCACGAGATTAGGGCCCTCTTAGATCCCCCAAGAATAGAACATGGATCTTAATCCGTCACTGTTTGCCGGTATTTGCACATAATCATAATCGGAGCTCTCTATTACATCGTAAAGAGCATGTCCAGTAAGGATATCAAGGAAGCTCTCTTCCCCTTCGGGCAGCATTACAGCAAAAAATTCGTCTTCCTCGCTACTAAAGAGGCATCCTTGCGTTCTCCGTTGGTTAGTGCGCACGAGCAAACGGTGATAATAAAAACACGGCGGGGCAAAGTCTATGCCATTTAGACAATGATCAAAGCGACATCATTCACAGAAGAACTGGGCCATCGGCTCGAGAACCCTCGTCTATTAATAAAATGGCTTAGTAACTACTTTGACAAGTATGGGGAAAGCCAAGCAGGGGCAAGTTTACAACTGCTGCTTGCAATTTGAGGTCATCGCTAACAGGTAGTAATAGCAGGAGGCAGTAATCAATAGACGAATTATGTAAACTATGAAAATACGTAGCTGCGCGCACGTTATTGTATTGGTCGTTATAGATCTAACTTGACATACTCTCTAATCTTGTTGATGCCAGTATCTCGAGGTCACATTGGATGTTATATCAGCTTGCTATACTATTGAGACTTAATAGAAATCTTTGAAAAAGCGTCATCACCTTTGAAAAACATTATGATATAATACTCATTTGCATACTTGCAATAGTGTCCCCTTTGAAACAGTAGCAATGTATTTATACTTTTCTTCGTACGAAACGAGATACGGGTTCGACTTACAATGGCGATATAAATTACCTGTCTATTTAAAATAATTAGCACAACGATAATATTTTGCCGCGCTCTACGCTCATTTCAAAAGAGATATATCATTTCTAATAGCGCGCCCGCCCATATATATGCAATTATTATTATATGTCATCTTCATAAACCCTATACACTTAGGACGAGACATCACTCCTTTCAAAATAATGAAATCACATCCTCTCTGTTGCTATAAGTTAATCGCCTCGCCTCCTCTGTACTATGTTCCAAGAGCCTCCAACCCCAGCGCTTCACTATATCCCTACAAGCCTCTCCATCTTAAAGACGATCACCTCTTGGGTCCCTAGCCTTCGCAAGATAGCATGTGTATTAGATCTTAAACGCAGTGCCTCAGCGAAGTATCTAACACCAACCCGCCGCTTGCAAAAAAGACATCAGTCTTGTTTCTCCGTACGAGGGACCCAGCGTTCGAAGCTTTACCTTCACTAACTGCTGTCCAAAAAGTTGGTCGTGATCTATTTGCACAATCAAATCCACTTCCACGCTCGATACAGAGACACAGTAAAAAAGAGCTCCCATATTGGGCCGAAAGATTCATTGATAGACTCTTAGTACTAGCCGACGGTATCATATCACAAAAGGAGATACAGGGACAAAGTGATTGGCATGCAGAAAGACCAAACAATATGGCGCTCGAGGAAGATCAAATACAGACTATGGTGAGTTTTCTGCGACTGGGTATGTCCACACATGCCCCGTACAAAGTCAAAGGCCCTATTAGGGCCGCTATAGAAACGGTATGACCTGGGGCCCACGTCGTCCACCAAAGCCCACGCCCGTCACGTTTTCCTATTACTCCGAAACCCGATTTGGTATTTAGATATGATTGCTCCAAAATCCTTTATTTAAATATACAGCAAGATATATACAGCTTAGGGCATGTCCAGAATGCAGAAGGCGTATGGCCCCCTTATTTATTACAAAATCGAAAAGCAGTTGCCCGGCCTGGGAAGTAGAGAACCAGATTCTCGACGCTGCATTGCCGGCTTTATTAACACACATAGTAAGTAAATTAAGACGCCAATGGTATCGCCGGGCGTGTTTGGCAGACGACATGTTAAAATTCTATGTAGACGGGGTCCGGCATTCCCGGTCGATCCGGGATAGACGATGAACCTCTCAGACATACCGCGTATGCTTTCAATCTTTTAACTATTATGTCTGAGTAGAATCAATATAAACGTAGTATTATACTACTTGGCAACACCCGGAAACTAGGGCGGGGGAGGCCGGAGGATCTTAAGGGTGTTAAGGAATTATTTGGGCCGAAAGAGCAGTGAGCGTTATCGCTTGATGAATCCCAACCTGAAGCAAGTGGCTTTGGGGATATGCGACTACGGCGTCCAAAATACTAACAAGCGTTGGGTAGCCAGTTCACGTGCTAGATTCTCTCAAGTGTATAAGCTGCAGGTTGTCGGACTGCAGGTTTGTGGCACTCGCATCTAGCGATCTGGCACATGGGAAGTGGTGGATTTGTCTCGCGGATCTGTACTGGGCGATATATCATCCAATAGATATTCAACGATGTCATAATTAATATAGCATACCTAGGCATCTAACTCCCACTGAGTTGTTTTATATTGCCTTATCTGTATGGAAGAGCACGTATGTGGTTATTATGGAACTTACTCCAATAGCAAGTAATGATTTCACCGCTATTTTGAAGAAAGAAAGGGAAAGAAAGAAACTTATGCAAGCCTTTATCTGCCTATATTCGCACAACAGATATTCTTAAGCCAATCGAGAAGGATAGCTTGGGGGAGGGGATTAAGAGGCTTTACCTACATGCAAGAACCGTGCCCATAGTAATGGCGGTAGAAACTATGCAAGACTATGCAAGTGGCCTACTTATCTCGGTCTCGAGGCGTAGAAGCGTTAAGGGGGCGCTTTTGTGTGCGTTCTTAGCGTAGATATTAGATCTGGACGGACATACTCCTAAGCTGTGATCCTCCAGTGACGGTATAAGCTTCGACCAAGCTTCCTTTGTGTGACTTGGACTTCAGCTTCACTAGAATCCTCAACTGGGTAACAACCAAGCTGAAATCCTATCAAGTCCTTGTAATCTACTGTTGTCTAATCCTCAGTTACCTATCACCGGTTCTATAGCATCTGCGATATCGTTGTATAAGTGATGAGCATGTCTATTGGGGTTAGCTTCGTACTTCCTCTTTTCTTCGGAATTTGATAGAATTTAAGAGTTTCGTTTTTATCTTGGCGAGTGAAAAACCGACAGTTAGCAGAGAAAGTGGTCTTACTGTGTTGGGTAAGCTTTAGTTAAAATCAGCGTTGATGAGAACATGCTGCTATGAATTATTTGATTATGAGCGAAAAGTCTTTAGTTCAACACCAACATTTTCTATGACCCTATGGCTTTGGACTGGTAGTAACTCTTGTGTGACTTATTATTAGACTGTGAGAACCTTGTTGAGTAGCTATCCTCTTCAAGCCCCCCTCCATCTATGGCCCCGATCCTCGACAGCGTGCTTACGAGTTACACACGCCGGGGGTTAGGAGAACCCACAGAAGCAGCTAAGTCTCAAGCATATTTGCACTCTTGACAGCGGGCCAATCCTTGTTCTAGTGAGCATAGCTGGTATACCTAGTCCTTAGCTGTCTCCTATCGCGCCCCAATACCCGACAGCCATCGTGAACCAGATTAGCGGCAAATGGGTTGGATAAGCGACTGCGTAACTATTCTAAGCGCTGCTGACGCCGGCAATATTGGACTATGGGCTTATGGGCCACGATAATTAAAGTAGGAAAAGCGCAATGTGATACGTTAGGGCTACGCTCAACACTTGGATACGTAGGGGACTAAGAGGGAAGACTTTGCCACCCCCCCGTTACGGGCCTTTCGTTCAGCTTGCACAGACCGGCCAATTTCTATGAAGTCTGTCTTTACCTCATGTATGTATATATTACTTGAAGCGGTTTTTACTTGCTACAGTGCTTAATGCAGATTTACGAAAAGGACTTCCGTCCAATGGGGGTGTTAGGGGGCATTGCCTTGCGAACAGGAATCTCCTCCCTAAGCCATCAGCCATCGTCCGGCCACAGGTCGGGTGACACAGCGTTTTGGGCGAGCCAGTCGCATCAGGAGAGGGGGGACCTTTTCACCCAACCATTGATTCCTTGCCTAGACGAAGATGATGGATGGGTCCGTGAACCGCTAGATAGAGTAGAGCATAACATAGCACATATGTATGTATACAATGGGGCCAAAAATGATAAATGAGCGATCTGGAAACCCAACTTACAATGTCACCATCTGTCAAAGATCCTGCGCTGCAAGATCATGTTACTCCACAGGGGCCTCTTGACGTAGATGGATGGGTTTACAACGAACTGCTCCTCGTCTGGGGAAGATCGAAGAGATAAGAGAGAGAGACACAGTGTTGCAGCAGCGGTTCCTTGTGTTCGCTTGTTCTGGACATAGCGTGTCGTATGCAGCAGAGCAGATCTTGGACGAAAAAAAAACATGTTATGTATGTATATCCCTCTGTTGTAAATGCGGTGTGGTGTCCGCACCGGATGAAGACAAACCACTACTGGCAGCGAGGACGAGACCAGCCCACTCCCTTCCCCACGGTGGCTCTTGTGGCGCTACGGGAGAAAATGCCTCCTGCAGGTGATGCCGGGGAACTTTCAAGATGCTTCCGTCGGTGCGGACTGTGGTGGCCGTAGATATGTGTGCTGCCGTATGTAGTAAGTGGGTGTGTGCGCGTCTGCCATTATAACTCTGGCAAGGGCTAAGCCAAGTCTTTTTTCCCCCCTAAGGAGAACAAAAGGATCTAGATGTATCGTACCCTTCTTCTCATCGCAGGGCTGAAGACATGACCTCGAAACAGCGCCGACTAAGGAAAGACATTGGACCCTGTGGCAACTCAACTTAACGCAACGCAATACAACGCAACGTATAACGACAGGCTGATTTACCTGGAAAGTGAGTATGATAAGGGGCTGAAAACTGGACCTTTTTACTACTACTATACTATAATCCACCAATCCACGGGTGCAACCTCGGTCGTTGCGTAAGGCACCTGGAACTCTATGGGGATGTCTCGGTTCTTTTGCGCCATGGTTTTTAGATTAGCTGTTGTGGCCGTCTGTCTTAGACACTACGTATACTATGTACACGTATGTACGTATGTATGTTGAGCTCGCTCTGTAGTGTATAGCCGCTCAAATCACCAGTGTAGATGTTTCAAACTCCAGAATGCAACCCCGCCTACATCGCCTACATCGCCGACCAAACGGACGTATGTATGTCTCTTGTTCGAGAACCCCTAACCTAGTCTGCCTCTGCCTCGTACGAGTTGTCGAGAGAATGTACTTGTTTAAGGTAGCTATAGCAACACGTTGCAGAGGCGACGTTCTAGACTGTCTTGACCGGTAGAACACAAGTTCACGTTCACCTATGGTAACTGGTATCTCGCGTAGGAACCATCTCGGCTTGATTTAACATGTAAAAAGTTATTAATGTAGACAACGGTCGCTTCCATTCGGCTCGACTCACCCTAAAGACCCCGGCAGGTTTCGGGCCTTTCTCGATATTCGCCTTCTACTACTTGATGCCTAACGAAGGCTAAGACGAAGGGTCTACGAGGTGTATATTGCCTCGGCATTTAGAAAGCTTATCGAAGGGTTCGTTACATGATCTCAAAAGCGGCTCAACTCATAAATCGTTGCATACCAGGGCTACAACGCTCGATGGAAGATCCTCTGGCCAGGTCTCCTCCGAACGTCCTTTTTCTCTTCCTTCTACTACATATTACATAGCACAATTCGTATTTGCGGCGACGTCCGTGGAACAGTCACCTGGCCGCGG